TACTTGAGTGGGGTTTAAATAGTTCGTTTTGATAGTTTTCTAGAATTTCTTATCTGAGCTTTAAACAGTTCGTTCTAATAGTTTTCTATAATTACTAATCTGGGTTTTAAACAGTCCGTTCTAATAGTTTTCTATGATTACTAATCTTGGTTTTAAACAGACCGTTTCAATAGTTTTCTGGAATTACTAATGATTGTTGTGATTGCCTGCATCAACAAAGAATATTTCAGATTAAAGTCTGCGGTGCTTGGATTCGGGGCCCACAACTAGAAATTGGAAAGAGGTCTGAGAACAGTTTTAAACAAGTCTAGTATCTAGTGAGCTCAACGCTCGGTAGGAGTCCTCTCTACTGTGCAGCTGCGTAGATACCAGGGATACACATGCATTTTTTACTCTTTCAAAGTGATAAAAACACCATACATTCTACAGTTTTGTGATAAAAAGTGTTTTTTTTCTGGAAAAATTCAGTTGGGATAATCTTGAGAAACAAATTCTACAAGTAAGTTGTATTTTATATTTTTTTTCTAATCTATAGAACTTAGCTTTTTAATCTTGATTTTTTCATTTTCTAGTGTCATAAACCTTTTATTCTTTTCATCTAAATATATATATTTATATATCAATTTAACAATTTCTTGTGTCCACCCCCTCCCCCCCTAAATAAAATTAATGATAAAAAGACACTTTTTTTGTGAAACAGAACATGCATAGAAAGTAATTTTATTGATAATAAGAATTTTCATGTAAAAACAGATTCCTGACATGTAAACAGCTTGTAACTATATAAACAGCTTGTACAATATACACATCTTGTAACACTATAAGCATCCTGTTGCTATATCAACATCTTGTAACTATATAAACATCTTGTAACTATATGAACAGCATGTAACTATATTCACATCTTGTAACTATATGAACAGCTTGTAACTATATACACATCTTTTAACTATATAAACATCTTGTAACTGATTAAATATCATGTAACTATAAAAAACATCTTGTAATTATAAAACTATCTTGTAACTATATAAACATNTAAACTATATAAACAGAGGCTTAAAAAAAGTGATTTATTTCATATATTCTCAAAAGTAACACGTCGTGAGAAATTATAGTTTTTACGGCCTTTGACCAACCATGATTCAACAGAGGGACAATAAGCTCCTTAACGTCACTTGCAGCAATTCAAAACAAAGTACTGCTTTGCGAAGTTTTCGTAAAAAAATTCGCGCATTTTGATTTAAAAAGACGATAAAATTGAGTACATCTACTTTTTCGGGAAAATAAAAAAATTTACTGCGATTTGGATGTTTTCTTGACAATATTGTCTTTAGAACCCTTTATGAAGTCGAATTCCCTTAACTAACCTGAGCTGAAAACTTTAGAATGGTTGATATCGAGATTAATGCATGATCCTCTCTTTTTCTTAATATCGAGACTAATCTAATCTTGTACCTTGTATCCTGAAAAGAGTATAAAATTCAACCAATCAGAGTCGCGTATATGAAGCCGATAAACTTGAAATTTTGCGCGCCATTTAAGATTATATACATAAATGGGAGGAACTCTCTAATTTAGAAAAACCGGTTTTTGATTTTTCTCTACTATATCCAAGAAAGATCGGTTTAAGAAGAAAATCAGAAGTGTGTCCATTGGATACTCAGATTAAGATATCTCATTCTAAAATTTTTAGCTCTGTAAAGTAATTCTTTAATCAACACATTTCTGTTCAACCAAATAGATTCACTCTCAGTACAGCTGTATTCTGACGTCACAAGTGTCAATTCAGTTTTTGTGTCCAACAAAATTATTAATAATAGTGATAATATAAGAATAAAGAGCTTATCTTACAGTGAAATATGTGTAATGATATGCGTTCTTTATTTTCTGTTTTTACACTTTATTATTGAATCTTGGAAAACATGTCAACTAATGTGAGAAAATTTTGTTTTTCTTGTTATATTTTACTCTTGTGACGTCGTGCATAATTGGTTCATTTCTTTGTTGCCTCCTATTGTACTTGATAATCTATTTGTGCTCAACTAAATTACTAAAACTAATGAATTTTTGAATGAATACAAAAATTATTAAAATTCAAACAATTCATTCTATCTTTCTATCACTCATCACCTGACATCGCATAAATGTAGTAAAATAAGCCCGCCCTTTTGGTTCATCATTACACACAATTTATGGAATTTAAAATAAAATTTTATTTTAATTTTAACTTCATCGGCTGCTTATAATAAATATTGTTTTCTCTAATTTGGTTCTGAGGTTACAATTATTATTGTGTTTGAACCTTTGAAAAGACTAGCGACGTAAACTTAAAAAATTATATTTTAAGCTGCGCGATTTGTTTTGATTAAATGACTCTAGTTATTAAATCAAAGTCATATCGACTTCGTCAGTCATAGTAAAAAATTATATTATATAGGGGGGGGGGAGCAACGATTAGCAATGGGGGAAGTGGGGTAGGTTTCCATTAGAATTTGAATGCCAGTATTGAATATGAGGTCCGAAGGAGTACATCAACGGAATAAAATGCAGTATGCAGCTGAACCCGAGTTAGCAAATCTTGTTGCATTTATTCAAAAAATCCTAACTCGGCAGTACAAATGCAATATCAGGAAAGATTAAAAAAATAATAAAGAATCGCAATTTTGTTCTCAATTTTTGAGGGAGAGAAAAATTGGTATTTATAAAAACAAACATTTTTTTCTTTTTTTTATCAGTAAGCTTGCGGCGGTAGAGTTAGCGGCCAGGTTTCTATCCGAGTTAAAAATACGGAAAAAACGCCAAAAACATTTTTTTTCGGTTTTTTTAAAGAAAAAAATCGTATTTAGCCAAAACGAATTTTTGCTTGCTTCACTGGCAGACTATGCAAAAAGAAGAGAAGGCCGAAAAACCAAAGAATCAAGGATTGATACTACATTCATTTTATTAAAGGGAGTGACCGGCTATGTAAGGTAGTTGAACTGAGCATGCAGTGCTGTGGAAAACTTCTTTCGGATTCAGTTGAAACATATTAAACTTTTTAAAGATCTGTAAATCCTGAGTTACTTTGGAGGTGGATACGTTTTCAGAATCAGTTTTGTCTTAATTGTTAAATAACGACAACGAAAAATAAAGTAAAAATTATACAGTAATCTAATAAGATGGTTAGGAACATATTTCTCAAAAGAAATTTGTCAATAAATCAATGCTAAAATCGATTATTTCGTCTTCATTATTATATTGAATTTCTTATCTTCTTTGAATTTATTCGCAGATTTCTTCAAATTCTTCAAATGTCGTCTTTTCGATAAAATTATAGAAAATCTTCGAAAATCTTTGTGAATAATGAGAAACCAGAATAATGAGAAAATAGAAACTGTTTTTAAGATCTATATATTTATTAATGTATCGAGGTTATATTACAAAATTGTTTATATGGATTTAACAAAAAAAACTTTTGTACGATAGTATCGTGTACATACATTATTTAAGAAGAAATCTATTAGTTTACGGATACATTTTTTCGTTTTTTCTTGCCAAAATTAATGTAAGATTTATATTCAAGTATTGACGAATGCAGTTCAAAAGAAAAAACTACATTATATTTAATAGAATAGCATGCTTGTATGCAATGTGACTTAGGAATACGATAAATACGGTGTGTGTTATCAATTATTAGAAAATGCTATAAATAACTTTGTGCATGTTTTCACATAAACATGCTACGGATACGAGTTCTCTTTTTTCTATTGAAGAAAATTGTTGTTAGCTTCATAATGAGGAACATTGACCGTTCCTCGTTAATATTGATGCTACATAATATAGTATAAAAGAAGGAACATTATAATTATGAAAATGCTACAAATAACTTTTCACAGAAAATAGAAACTAATAATTGAACAAGATTACTTATTTTCGATGATAAGAAACATTTTTATTTTCTCAACATGTTCCTGTAGTTTATTGTAGAAATTTTTTTACATTTTATGTCGTCGTTGTTTAATAATTTCAAAAGACTAATTCTGAAAACGTATCCACCCCCTAAGTAGAAGTTTTGAACGTCGAATTTGCGCTCAAACTCAGGATTTACAGATCTTTAAAAAGTTTAATATGTCTCAAATGAATCCGAAAGAAGTTTTCCACAACACTGCATACTCAGTTTAACTACCCTACAAACCCGGCCAGTCCCTTTAAATAGGTTTTCATTGCAACATTCCATACACTTTTTAAAATCCAAATTAACATTAAAAAGGAAAAATGATTAAAACATTGAAGATATTATAAATACTCGATATTGCCTACATTTTTTTGAGAGAGGGGGGGTTGTGGGTAGGAAATGGCGGGGGTAAGACTGTCTTAAATCTAAACGGACGACAATTTTTCTGTTCATTTCATCTTTGCACAGAACTCTAAAAAATGTCACACTTTCATCTAACAAAAGTTGTTGGAGCACTGGAGCCAAATTTAAAGCATCATTCGTCTTTTGTGAAATGAAATTTATCATTCATCAACATTTGAAGAATCAAGCAATCATCTTGGCTCCGGTATTTGGTACTTCAACAAATTTTGTGAGATAAAAATTTAATCTATCTAAGAGTGAGGGTCAAAATTATCATTTTGAAATTTTCACATTTATTTATGGAGTAAAAAGTGACAATTTTATATATTTTTTTCTCATCCAAAATCAATCAACAAATTTAAGGCAGTCATGCAATTTACACAATGCAATTTTGTTCGCGAATTATAAAATCTATTGAAAAATGGTCTAACACAGATAGGTTCTAGTACAATTGATGGCAACATTGATTCTAGTACAATAGCAGTACAGCTGTATTCTCACGTTAGAAGTGTCAATTCAGTTTTTGTGTCCGACAAAATTGTCAATAATAGTGATAATTTTAGAATAAAGGGCTTTTCTTACAGTAAAATAAGTGCAATTTTATGTGTTCTTTATTTTCTGTTTTTTCACATTTTTATTTAATCTTAGAAAACTTAACTAATGGGAGAAAAATTCGGTTTCCTTGTTATATTTTACACTTGTGCCGTTATGTATAATTGGTCCATTTCTCTGTTGCCACCTATTGTATTTGATATTCTATTTGGTTTAACATGAATATCTATAATCAACAAATTAAACGAAATAGATCAAATATCAATGTAACATTTGAAACCCAGACAAGTAGAGGCCCTAGAAACCAAAGAATCTGAAAACGTTTTCTGTTCAAAAAATTCTGAACATTGGAAATATTGGGATTCCGAACCAGAGCCTAGCAGCAAGGAAGGTTAAATTTTTTTTGTTTATTTCAATGAAATGGTTATTTATAAATCATAGTTATCATACAGATAAAACTAAGTGGTTCATTGGGAAAGTTTTAAAAAAACATTTTATATCTTCTATCTCGGTAAATATTACACTGTAAAATACACTAACTAGTAACTATAAACAATGAATCATTCGAATTTTAGTAACAGTCTAAACCTGTACTCCAGGTTCTGAGTATCCCGAATCTCTGATATACTAAACCTATATTTCAGTGTTTAACCCTGTACTCCGGGATCTGAGTATACCTGTATCTCTGATATACTAAACCTACATTTCAGTGTTTAACCCTGTACTCCGGGTTCTGAGTATCCTGTATCTCATATATACTAATCCTATATTTCAGTGTTTAACCCTGTACTCCGGGTTCTAAGTATCCTGAATCTCTGATATATACTAATCTTATATTTCAGTGTTTAACCCTGCACTCCGGGTTCTGAGTATCCTGTATCTCATATATACTAATCCTATATTTCAGTGTTTAACCCTGTACTCCGGGTTCTGAGTATCCTGTATCTTATATACACTAATCCTATATTTCAGTGTTTAACCCTGTACTCCGGGTTCTGAGTATACCTGTATCTCATATATACTAATCCTATATTTCAGTGTTTAACCCTGTACTTTGGGTTCTGAGTATCCTGTATCTCTAATATTTACTAATCCTATATTTCAGTGTTTAACCCTGTAATCGGGTTCTGAGTATACCTGTATCTCATATATACTAATCCTATATTTCAGTGTTTAACCCTGTACTCAAGGTGGTTCTGAGTATCCTGTGTCTCTGATATACTAATCCTATATTTCAGTGTTTAACCCTGTACTCCGGATTCTGAGTATCCTGTATCCCTGATATACTAATCCTATATTTCAGTGTTTAACCCTGTTCTGCGGGTTCTGGGTATCCTGTATCTCTGATATATACAAATTACTAATCCTATATTTCAGTGTTTAACCCTGTACACCGGGTTTTGAGTATCCTGTATCTCTGATATATACTAATCCAATATTTTAGTGTTTAACCCTGTACTCAAGGTTCTGAGTATCCTGTATCTCTGATATATACTAATCCTATATTTCAGTGTTTAACCCTGTAATCCGGGTTCTGAGTAAACCTGTATATCATGTATACTAATCCTATATTTCAGTGTTTAACCCTGTACTCCGGGTGGTTCTGAGTATCCTGTATCTCTGATATACTAAGCCTATATTTCAGTGTTTAACCCTGTAATCCGGGTTCTGAGTATCCTGTATCCCTGATATACTAATCCTATATTTCAGTGTTTAACCCTGTTCTGCGGGTTCTGGGTATCCTGTATATCTGATATTTACTAATCCTATATTTCAGTGTTTAACCCTGTACTCCGGGTTCTGAGTATCCTGCATCTCATATATACTAATCCTATATTTCAGTGTTTAACCCTGTACTCCGGGTTTTGAGTATCCTGTATCTCTGATATATACTAATCCTATATTTCAGTGTTTAACCCTGTACTCCGGGTTCTGGGTATCCTGTATCTCTGATATTTACTAATCTTATATTTCAGTGTTTAACCCTGTACTCCGGGTTCTGAGTATCCTGTATCTCATATATACTAATCCTATATTTCAGTGTCTAACCCTGTACTCCGAGTTCTGAGTATACCTGTATCTCTGATATACTAATTCTATATTTCGGTGTTTAACTCTGTACTCTGGGTTCTGAGTATAATTGCAACCCATATATAATAATCCTATATTTCAGTGTTTAAACCTGTACTCTGGGTTCTGAGTATAATGTATCTCATATATACTAATCCTATATTTCAGTGTTCAACCCTGTACTCTGGGTTCTGAGTATAATTGCAACCCATATATAATAATCCTATATTTCAGTGTTTAAACCTGTACTCCGGGTTCTGAGTATCCTGTATCTCATATATACTAATCCTATATTTCAGTGTTTAACCCTGTACTCCGGGTTCTGAGTATCCTGTAACTCTGATATACTAATCATATATTTCAGTGTTTAACCCTCTACTCCTGGTTCTGAGTATACCTGTATCTCATATATACTAATCCTATATTTCAGTGTTTAACCCTGTACTCCGGGTTCTGAGTATCCTGTATCTCTGATATACTAATCATATATTTCAGTGTTTAACCCTCTACTCCGGGTTCTGAGTATCCTGTATCTCTGATATACTAATCATATATTTCAGTGTTTTACCCTGTACTCTATCCTGTATCTCATATATACTAATCCTATATTTCAGTGTTTAACCCTGTACTCCGGGTTCTGGGTATTATGTGTCTCATATATACTAATCCTATATTTCAGTGTTTAACCCTCTACTCCTGGTTCTGAGTATCCTGTATCTTATATATACTAATCCTATATTTCAGTGTTTATACCTGTACTCCGGGTTCTGGGTATTCTGTATCTCATATGTACTAATCCTATATTTCAGTGTTAAACCCTGTACTCCGGGTTCTGAGGTTCTGGAGATCCTGGATCTCTGTAATAGCTCCTGTTGTTCTAATAGCTATACCATTAACAGCAGATCCTAAAAATGAAAAGGTAAAAATTTTATTGTTCAGATTTCTAAAATTTAAAAATATTATTTTAAAATTATTATTACTATGACATGATATTTTTAAATATTTAGGCTATGTGGTGTGCCTACAATATTCTGGTGTGTGCAGTATATTGGATTTGTGAATGTACCCCCCTGGCAATTACATCTTTACTACCTGTGGTTTTACTACCCTTGACGGGGGTGGTGAGCACCAACGATGTTTGTATCAACTATATGAAGGTAGGCTAGAATATTGGCAAATTGATTTTTTAAAACAGATTATTGCAACAAGATTTTTAATGCCAAGCAGAAGTTGTTACCAATATTTGCTTTCTTGCAATGAAGAAATATTTAATGATGAAACTCTTTAAATTTTGTTATTTAAGAGTAAATTAATTTGATGTTTTAAAGACGACATTATTTCAGGGAACAAACATGATGTTCATGGCCGGCCTTGTAATGGCAATAGCTGTGGAGCACTGCGGACTTCACATCAGGAAACATTTAGAAATACATTTAAAAAAAGAAAAAGTAAGGAACAGTAGACATAACTTCCATTTATAGAGTGCTATATTTGATTCACAATGCCTCCCTTGAAAACTTTTTCTGGGGAACAGTAAACAAGGTAATTTTTTTAACGTACTGTTTCCTGGCAATTTTCGTTTTGTTTTATCAGCCTAGATCCACAATTAAAAATAATAAATTTTTGGCCAGACAAATGTGAATATGGCAATCATCCTTTCTCAGTCAAAGGTTGAAAGGGTGCCATTGTGAATCGAACACGCCCCTACACAAATGTTACTTGAAATTAGAACGACAGTCCCTTTAATATATAATAAAGACCAGCTTAATTTGAAAACAAATGCACCCATGCAAGTTTCTGCTTTACAATGAGTTCAATCAATTATTGTATTACGATGGTTTTAGAATTGCGCTCAATATAATACAAGGAGTTGGGACCAGTAAGAGAATGCTGATGCTTGGTAATTATTTATCAATAAATCTAATGGGATATATTCTAAATCTAAACATCCCTGATTCATAGTAGGGACGGCTTATGACCAATATAGCGCTGTTACAAAAGGATTTTAAATGGCCCTTTCTAAATTACTTAAATGTATTCTACGAATTTCTCTATTTCATTAACTCAATTGAACTGCATACTGTACTGTATAAGTATTTTACTGTATAAGCTGCATTATAAACTAAAGATAAAATTGCCAGTGAAATTCTAAAAATAAAAAATTTAGAGTTTTATTTTATTTTTCAAGAAAATTTTGTTTTTAATTTTTTAGCATATGTTACTCCCAGGGTATTAATGGGTTCCCTCAAAACATTTCAGCCAATTTGGTCCAGTCGTTTGGGCAGCTATTATAGCTGCCCAAACGACTGGTCATGATAGGTCATGTATATATATTATATAGATATGTTTAAGAAGCCCTCTGGAAACCTCAATATCAAGCCGTATTTTTCCTGTGGGATCACATTTATTGCCCCCCCCCCCTATGGGGTATTAGGAGTGGGGGTCAGCAATATTAAGTTTACACCATAAACCTTTCATTTAAAGGGAGTGACCGGCTATGTAATGTAATTGAACTGATTATGAAGTGTTGTGGAAAACTTCTTTCGGATTCATTTGAGACATATTAAACTTTTTAAAGATCTGTAAATCCTGAGTTTAAGCGCAAATTCGACGTTCAAAACTCCTACTTTGGGGGTGGATTCGTTTTCAGAATTATTTTTTTAAATTAATAAAAAACGACGACATAAAATGTAAAAAAGTTCTACAATAAACTACAGACGTCATGTATAGGAACATGTTGAGAAAATAAAAATTAAACTTATCATCGAAAATAACTAATCTTGTTCAATTATTAGTTTCTATTTTATTATTATTCTGGTTTCTCATTATTCACAAAGATTTTCTGCAGATTTTCTAGAATTATGAATGCAAAGACGACATTTGAAGAATTTAAAGAAATCTGCGAATAAATTCAAAGAAAATAAGAAATTCAATATAATAATGAAAATGAAATAATCGATTTTAATATTGATTTATTGACAAATTTCTTTTGAGAAATATGTTCCTAACCATCTAATTAGATTACTGTATAATTTTTCTTTATTTTTCGTTGTCGTTATTTCATAATTAAAAAAACAGTGATTGTACAGTGATTTGGAGTTTTGAAAAAACTCACAATTGTTCGTGCATTTTCTCACGATTCAATACTTTACTATTCTTGCCTTAACATAAACAAAAATCTGAACTGGAATGTACTGCAGTGTACAATCCAATCAATGTTTATAATTCAAATAGTAGTGTCTATCCAAGGTTATAATTATAACCTTGTGTCTATCTAACTATTTATACAAATATACAATTATCTACATTGAACCACCCCCAAGAATTCGATCACTTAATATACAAGTGTACATATGTTACATATGTAAATACAAAGAATTATGTGGAGATGTTCGCAAGCGACCATCCTATTTAATTAAATGGGTTGTGGGTTGCGTACATCTAAGGTAAGCCTATACATCTTTAATTAATGTTCATTAAAATCTATTTATATATCAAATTTATCCTGAATCCGTTGTAATTTCTTGTAAAAAAAGCTATAAAATATATAGTTTTTACCTTTGAAATAATTGCTTTAACAAAGACGACATTCGGCAACAGGATCCATTTAAGGAAAAATATATGAACGGGAAAAGTAGTTAGAAAACATTGAAAATCAACGTAAACTACAATTAAGCAATACAATGTTTGTAAATGAAAAAATTATCAGTATCTAGTCATTCTGTCCATTCTCCTCATGACTCACAAGACAAATGAATTGTATGAGTATTGTGACAAAATAAGTCCCCCCCCAAAAAAAAAAAAAAAACAACCAAACGTGTCCCCCCCCCCCTCCGGATTTAAAATGTATTGGTCTTATTGCTATAGTCCTTGCCAATTTGGAGATCGATTCCTTGATAAATTCCCTCGAAAAAATATATATTAATGATTGAAAATTCGAAAAGGTATTGAGTCTTGGCCACCCACTCTGATTTCTAATCCCTTTATCGTTGGATTCAAATGTCGTAGACCTTATGATATTTCAAACTATGAATTCTGAATAATATAAGTTTGAAATATTAAAGATTTACGACATTGGGTTCCAAAGATATAGGGATTTTAAAGCAGATTTGGTGGGAAAGACCCAATTCCTTTACAACGTCTTTATGTAATAGACTAGATCACAATCTAAAACAAGCATACTCCTAGCTTCTACAAATAATAAAATAAACATGTTTAACTACTAGTTAGAAAATGCAAAACCTAGTTATAAAATGCAAAACCAACCAACCAGCCAAATCAGTTTAATCTTTCAAATTAAAAACTTCACAATATTTTTAGGATTCATGCTTTGTGCAATGTTCCTCTCCATGTGGATCTCTAACACTGCCGCGACCGCCATGATGGTTCCGATCGTTGACGCGATCCATAAAGCGATCAATACATCTAAGGAAGACGAACTGGAAGATGGAAAGGTACATACTTTATTAATCTAGTTTTTTCTCAAAAATTTTCAACATTTTTTAGAAAAATCATTTAGTTCCATTACGAGTACAGTGTTAGGCGATTATATCAATATAATGAAGACGACTTTTTAAAAAATTTTTGATTGTTAACACGCTTTTTTCGAATTAAAAATTTACTAGTAATCAAAGAGAAGCTATTTTAAGTGACAGCTTCTCTTGACTTCTATGTTTTTGTGTATCTATGCTGTTTAACAGCATGACATAGATAAAAATTGAAATCGTAAGTCGCCTTCATTTTATTGATGCAATCGCCTACCACCATAGGAAAACTGTAGTTATTTCTGCAAATTGTAGATTTCTCTGCAGCCCAGGGGTAAATTCAGTTCAAACTTGATTCACGCTGAACTATGGTTTAGTAAGTTTTAGCAACATTTTTCACCCTGCAATGGCGTAAGATACAAAATGATAAATTACGTTGTATTTATAATTGAAGTTTACCTTTAGTATGATATGATAAATATAAAAAAGAGGCGATATAAGGTTTCAAAGTCTCATTGGTAAAACCCTTGGGCAAACCCCAAAAATAAACTTGTGTGTTGTACCTTCCACCTAGTTTAGTGTTGTTCCTTCCACCTAGTTTAGTGTTGTATCTTCCACCTAGTTTAGTGTTGTACCTTCCACCTAGTTTAGTGTTGTACCTTCCACCTAGTTTACTGTTGATCATGAATCATTTCTTTGGATACAAAATTAATAGGTTTAGAATCTGTTCTTAAGATGTTCAAGCATGCAGAGATAAGCAGTTAAAGGGACTTACAAACGTACTATTATTTGACCCTTTATTAAAAGAATTACCTACCCGATTCACAACAGTATCCTCTAAACATTATCCAACTGAACACAAGTATGGAGATATCCCTGGATTTCTATCAAAAAAATGTTAAGTTTCAATTGTGGTTTCTCTGTAAATGTAACTAGAGGATTTTTGCAGCAGATTTCACAATAATGTTAATTGACGAAATTTAGTTCGTTTCCAGATAAAGATAGTTCTACTCAGATGAAGGGTTAAAGAGTACCTTAGTGAATTAAACATGCAACTCACTTGAATCTACGTTGACAGTCCCTTTAAAGGGATCCTTGAAATATTGGAAATTATCAAAAAGAAAAAAAATAATAAATCCAAACCTTGAAGCAAAAACTATATTTCCCAAGATGTTGATAAATTTGTTGATCATGATATCCTGTTCAAACTATTTAACGCAGAGGAAGCTTGTCACGCAAAAACTAGAATAAAGTTCAATCAATATATATATATTTGCGATCTGTGGACTTTTAAAAATTATTTAAAGTTCTTGAAGGGAGTGTTCGCGAAAAATGAAAGGGGCTATAGGCCAACGCGAAAAATACGCGCTTTTGATCGCTATTAATCTTACTTCCATCTGTTGCGCCTATAACACTATTTTCGCAAACACTCTCTTTTTCAGTATCTAAGTTCTATTTTATATTTGTTTAGAAATTAAAATGTAACCAAAAAAGGATAAATAATATTTAAATTAAAAAATAACTCAATTTTCCTATTCTTTTTGTCACCTAATTACTTCCGTTCCAAACAGCGAAAAATTCTCACAATTTAAACAGAACGTAAGATGAATGTTTCTTTTGTAAATAGGGCAACATATGCATTACTTCAATCGAAAATAAACTGTTTTTCCTCAAAGGATTCACAAATGATAGAAATTAGCATAATACATCTTTGTTTGACACAGTGGCGGCCATAAGGGGGGTTATTGGGGTTATTTACGCCAAATTAAAAATATTTACCCACCCTACAGAATCCTTATGTCCGCCCCTGGTTTGACTGTTTCTAAGCTTTTATAATAATCACTAAACTAGACATAGAAAAAAGTATTCGGCAACAGGCTGCAAAGTATTAAGATTACTAAAAACTTGAGGTTGATGCAAGTGTTCAATGCATTTTTCAAGCTATTAAATATTAATGTTATTGTTTATTAGTATTAGGATTGGTACACTTTTATATAAATTGTTTTCACTCACTTCAGCATAAAGAAGAAGTTTATTTGACGTTAGTTACTTTCCCAGAGTGATTTTCCCAAGCGGCATCTTCCCATGGGTTTTTTTACCAAGTAATAACTTGTCAAATGTGCAATTTCCCTGGCGGAATCTACCCAAGTCTGTCATAGCCATAGCGCTCGGCCACCGAGCCTGTTCTTCCCGCAGCGCTCGGCCATCTGACCCATCCTTTAACTTTTAGGAAGTTGCCTTCGGAAAATATCTCAAGTACCGTATATATGATGTGAAGTTACTGGTTGGACTTTACAACCTCGTAACATCACCAGTAGTCGATTAATAAGAAAAATGTTAATATAAAAGAGAATTAGATTTAGAATTGTGCCTCTTTTTATACATATTTATGTCTATAAATTCTATACAAGTAAATCTAGAATAGGGGCCAAGGATTTATTGTGAATTTGTAATCTGGGTCAAATAAGCTGAGAAATACTTCAAGAACTTTCATTTGCAAAATACTTTCAATGCCTTTAATTGTCTTGTGACTGTTTGGAGGAAAGAAAGCGGGAGAGGAACAAAAAAAGTTTATCTTAAAATCGTACCACAAAGGTTGAATTATCGATGAAGCTACATTTTTCGACACGGAAGGAATTGACTTCAGAAATTAATCTCAAATTGGTTATTCTTATAGTCATCGATTAATAATATATATATATATACATATTTGGCTGGTTTGGGTGTTTGTTAGTTTGTTTCCAATAAACGTGAAAACGGTTGAGTATAGATATATAGATGGGGGAGGGGGATGCACTCTTTTGCCCCCGCCCCTTAGTTACGATCTTTTAATACTTCGGTGGTAGGCAATTATATCAATATGATTATTTTGACTTTCAATTTTTTTATTTATATCAAGCTTTTAACAGCATGAATGCATACAAATATTATAAAAAAGCTTATTAACTCAAATTTGGGAGTGATCGGCGATGTATGACGTAGTTGAACTTAGAATGTAGTAATGTTGAACAATTTTTTAGGATTCATAATTAGTTTACTGTAGAATTTTTGTCACATTTTTTGTCGTCATTATTACTTAATCGATTCTCAAAACGGAACCACCAAAATGAGAGATTTTAAAAGTTGACTTTGCGCTAAAACTCAGTAATTATACATAATTAAAACATTTTATATGTCTCAAATGAATCCTAAAAAACTCTTCCCAATAGTACATTTTCAGTTCAACTACCATAAATTGCCAGTCACCTCCTTTAAATAAAAAAGTCGTCTTCATTGTTATAATCGCCTACCACCATATGAAAAACGAATTACTCTTTATAGACGCAAAAGATAGAAGTAAGTTTAGTAGCAATCAACATCAAATACTTTTTGACGTTAGACTATACCTCCTTTCACTTTTCGCGATCACTCCCTTGAATGAATCTCATATAGTCGCTTCTGCAGAAGTCTCATTTCTCTAAGAGTAACTTTTAAAAAATTTCTGTCACTTTTAACCGGGTAGAAATTATCTTTTAAAACTTTTTGTTATATTTTTAATTTTCCGGTCTTTTATCTTCCCAAAAGACTTAAAATTAAAAACAAAATAAAATAAAAAAATTATATTATTTATTTAGAATAATGAAGAACTCGAGGCAAAACTTAAAAATTCTAAATCTCGAAATTTCCTTCTCCTTTCAGTGGCATATGCGTCAAATATAGGTAATATACAATTTCAAAACACGATAGATCATTTTTAATTTTAGTGTTTTTATATATATCATAAAGAAATCTAGGCCATGGTATATATTACCATTTGTAGGTCATATTATATTCACAAGGACCTAAAATGCCCATTTTCATAGATAAAATTTAACTATTAAAAAAGTTTATGCTTTTCTAAAAAAGAACCGATCTTATACATAACGACGTAGAAAAAAACAAAAAACGAAGCGATCGTTTGATCGTTTTTAAAAACGATTAACAACCCTTTATGTAGGGGGTACCGGAGTACTGACAGGGTCTCCTCCTAACCTTGTCGTTGTCTCCTCTCTCACTAAAGAATTTGGACAGGTAGGACTAATTGTATCTTTTCTCCTCGTATTGATATTTTATCTCTCCCCCTTTACTGTATTTCTTAAAATCACTCCCAGATAAATATACTCTCCCAAATTAGCTATATGTGTACATTTAGGTCCGAGGTCAGCTAGATATGTATATTTCAAGTCGCCTGTCAGCTAAATATATATATTTCAAGCCCCCTGTCAGCTATATCTGCATATTTCAAGCCCCCTGTCAACTGTATATGCATATTTCAAGTCCCCTGTCAGCTATACATGCATATTTCAAGTCCCCTGTCACTTGTCAGCTATATATGTATATTTCAAGTCCGAGGTCAGCTACGCTACCTGGTTGGCATTTAACATTCCTCTGATGCTTCTCAATACGTTCGCAGCCTGGGTCCTCCTCATCGTTATAGAGGTCAAATATTTTCACTTACTTACTCACTTACTGGACACTTACTTACTGAACCATTTACTCACTCACTTTTTGATCACTTACTTACTTAACCACTTACTTACTCACTTACTCGAAACTTACTTACTTAATCACTTACTTGCTCACTTACTCAACACTTACTCGACACTTACTTACTTAACCACTTACTTACTCACTTGCTAGACTATTTACTTAACCACTTACTTGCTCACTTACTCGACACTTACTCGACACTTACTTACTTAACCACTTACTTACTCACTTGCTAGACACTTACTTACTTAACCACTTACTTGCTCACTTACTCGACACTTACTCGACACTTACTTACTTAACCACTTACTTACTCATTTGCTAGACACTTACTTACTTAACCGCTTATTAACTCACTCGACACTCAATTACTTTATCACTTACTCACTTACTTACTCGACACTGACTTACTCAACCACTTACTAACTTTCTTACTCGAAACACACACTTAATTAATTACTTACTAACTCACTTACTCGACACTCACTTACTTAATCACTAACTCACTAACTTACTCGACATTCACTAACTTAACCACTTAGTCACGCACTTACTCGTCACTCACAATTACTTAATCAATTACTCACCTACATAAGTTTTTACTCACTCACTTACTCGACACTCACTTACTTGATCACTTGTTCAAACACTATCACAAACACTCATTTACTCGCTTACTCATATTTTTCCGAGCTTACCCTTTATCATTTTATTTTAGTTTTCGATTGTTAACCCTATTCCAACTAACGTCTGGTTTACTCAAAATAGACTGGGGGGGGGGGGCTCATAGTGGCCCCCTGGCCCCTCTATTCCCTACAAAGTTATAACATTTGATACATTTTTCAAAAGCTCTTGGACTCTACTTTAATAAACTGAAGAAAAAATTCTAATTTGCTAATTCCAAATATGTATTCCAAAATCTATGTAGTTGTTTTGCCAAAAATGTACAAAAAACAAAAAATTCGCAAAACATGACAAAGTACATATTTTGAAAAGCCCATAACCCAGCAAATTCAAATATGTAAAAATATTTGCAAAATTTTAAAAACCTAAATGTGAATAAAATAAAAATAAAATTGTTTTTAATACCCTTTAAAGGCGAAAATCTACGAGAAATTTCTTTGCAGAAATTTGCCAATTTGCTTCATTTAGTTCCAAAGAGCTATAACATGTTGAAATCATATGCCTAAGGACTCAGGCAGTAGATATAAAAGCCCAGCTTTTAGCCTAGTGAGGGCATGCATTAGTAAGAGAAGTAAAATAAAATTCAACAGCCTCATACCAATGCTTTATATGTTTTGGCAAAAAAAACAATAGTGGCTCACATATCTAAGTTCTTTTCTATAAAATACAACGTGAGGAACTCGTGCAAAAGTAAATTGTTTAAGCATTTATAATACAAAACTTTAAACATGCATAATTTCTAACCAGTAGACAAATATTTTAGTTTGCTATTAGTACTGATTAGTGATAATGATTTTTTTTTCGTATGAACTACAGACTTCAAAGTCAAACAGCCAATAAAAAGTTTGCATTCTAGAATCTATAAATTACCACAAAGACTCGAGAGAGAGAAATAAAAATCTGGTAGAGTCAGCGAAGCGAAGAAAGACCCCGGATAATGCATCCGGATATATCTGGTTTAAATCCCCGGTTTCCTGAGAACAATTGCGTTCATGGAAAGGGAAATCACCGTTTTCCATTGTTACTCATTTGGCAAGCACTCTTGACTTTCTAAACTCTCTATAGGCTCACTAAACTCTCAAAAATATTTAGACTCTCTAGACTTTTTAGATATATACTCTAGAGTTCTAGACTCTCTAGACTTTTTAGATATATACTCTAGAGTTCTAGACTCTCTAGACTTTTTAGCTGTATACTCTAGAGTTCTAGACTAGCTAGACTTTTTAGATATAAACTCTAGAGTCTAGACTCTCTAGACTTTTTAGATATATACTCTAGAGTTCTAGACTCTCTAGACTTTTTAGATGTATACTCTAGAGCTCTAGACTTTTTAGATGTATACTCTAGAGTTCTAGACTCTCTAAACTTTTTAGCTTTATACTCTAGAGTTCTAGACTCTCTAGACTTTTTAGATATATACTCTAGAGTTCTAGACTCTCTAAACTTTATAGCTGTATACTCTAGAATTTTAGACTCTCTAGACTTTTAAGATATATACTCTAGAGTTCTAGACTCTCTAGACTTTTTAGATATATACCCTAGAGTTCTAGACTCTCTAGACTTTTTAGATGTATACTCTAGAGTTCTAGACTCTCTAGACATTTTAGATATATACTCTAGAGTTCTAGACTCTCTGGACTTTTTAGATGTATACTCTAGAGTTCTAGACTCTCTAGACTTTTTAGATATATACTCTAGAGTTCCAGACTCTCTAGAGTTTTTAGATATATACTCTAGAGTTCTAGACTTTCTAGACTTTTTAGATATATACTCTAGAGTTCTAAACTCTCTAGACTTTTTAGATATATACTCTAGAGTTCTAGACTCTCTAGTCTTTTTAGATATATACTCTAGAGTTCTAGACTCTCTAGACTTTTTAGGTATATGCTCTAGAGTCTAGAGTTCTTAGACTCTCTAGACTTTTTAGATATATACACCAGAGTCTAGAGTTCCTACACTCTCTATACTTGTTACCTATATACTGTAGAGTTCTAGACTAACTAGACTTTTTAGCTGTATACTCTAGAGTTCTAAACTCTCTAGATTCTTTAGATGTTTACTTTAGATTTTTAGATTCTCTAGACTCTTTGATGTTTACTTTAGAGTTTTAGATTCTCTAGACTCTTTAAATGTTTACTATAGAATTGTAGATTCTCTAGACTCTTTAGGCTTCGTAGACTTTCTAAAGCCTGTAAACTCTGAAAAGTTATACTATTCTTTATTATGGTCTAATGATCTAAATGATATTATTATGTAGAGGTATGTGAGCCGGCATGAACCACAACCAACCCCCGAGAGTGAACTTCAAGTAAAAATTATACTTCAAGAGAAAAAGAAGGAGCTTGGATCTATGAACGCTCATGAAATTCAGGTTTTACTTTTTTACTTTTTCTCCCCAATATTTCCTTTTTTTGGACCACGCATATTTTCCTCGTAATAAAAAATCTACCTTGTACAAAACCTCCTGGACATTTTGGTAAACACAAACTTCCCATAACAACGACCCAAGTTTATCCACTGTCCAGTCTGAGCTAACTTTAACCCTAATTCCCGGTTTGTTTGTTTGGGTGTGTGTGTGTTTGCTTTTCCGATCAAAACTCATTGAACCCCGGGGACCGTGGGGACTCCGGTTCAAACACAGAAATGTGTTTAACTTAGTATAACGTTCTAAGTTAAATGTTTTTTAACCCTCCCCCCCCCCCCCTTCCTGTAGTCCTAGCACTCTCATTTTTGACACTATCACCGTGAAATTTTGTGAGTTTTAATGAATAGAAATAAAAGGCTATTTTATATCGGTCTAATTTTTTTCTATGAGCTGGCCTTAAGAAATTGGGCTATGAACATGCATTTCAACCCTATACCTATTCTTAAAGGCCTTTTTCTAGGGAGGGGCTATTATACATAAATTGAGACCCCCCAGCCTTTTTAGGGTTAATGGCTTATTTAATGATTAGGCAAAGAATAAATGAAGTTTATAGCTGAAGGGAATCTTGAATATAAAGAAACAGATAGTATTAGTTACGTACAGTCGTCTCTGAAGTATCATCCTTTATATGCACCCCTTTAGATGTAATGTAATTTAGGTTTTAATCCTCTTTATTCTTCTGGTTCTACTTTGGTTCTTTCTGGAACCTGTTTTTATTACAGGCTGGGCCAGCTTCTTCGAACCGGTAATTTATTTAATTTTGCCTTTTTGCTAAATAAAAAAAATAACTTTTTGTTGATTATTTTAAGTTCCTACTTTTGTTTATTTTGATTTTTGATAAGTTCATTTTAAAGTGCCGTTTAAGTATCAAATTATCAATATTTAATTTTCAAAAAAAAGTTGTTGATAGAAAATACATATTTAAGACTAAAATTAACACCGCTACCCCGGCAGTATTTATCGTTTGGCTTCTGTTTCTTCTCCCCCAGAAGTATGGTACAAAAGAACCATCTCCAGCTCTACTAGACTGGCATACAGGTATCATCATCATCTTATTAATTGTTAATTCGGTTTCTGAAAGTGGACTCCAGACGTAATTTCAAATGACCAATATATTCACAGTGTGCCATGTCAGAATTACAACGGTACCCTATAAACATTTATCAGCAACAATAATGAGAAAGATTCTAGTTTTCCTGAAACTGGTTGAATTCTGCCAATTTCCTACATTTGTTTCAGATGAATAATTTGGCAATTACTTTTTTATGGAAACTAGGAAAAACTGGTATATCTCCTTAAACGGTATGATTTTGACACGGCTGTCAACTCTTCAAGTAATGAATTGCACTTTACAAACACTTTAAACCTATGAATATTGGATCCGGGTGGGTTTTCTGAAATGCTACAGTCATAATCAGAAAAACCCGGAATTAATAAAGAATTAATCATGCGATTTCACATACAGGTATATTTTTGGCAATTTTAAATGCTCAAAAAATGCAGATCACATTTTGGAAATGGCAGGATTATCGTTTCTTCCATCATATTTGTATAATTAGATTGTACAGTCGTTTTATGATTGTTAATTAATTCCGTGTCTCTCTGATTAGCAATGTAGCTAAAACAAAAAAAAATGAAATAAAGTTTTACCAAATTAGCATTGAAATATTTTTCATCTTATTCTAGTTGAGAAGAAACTACCCTGGGGAGTAATTCTTCTGCTAGGAGGAGGGTTTGCTCTAGCAGATGCCTCTAAAAGGTACTTTTTGAAAAGCTTATTTCACATATATTTCATCAATTATATTTGCATTTGTTAGAATGTTTAATTTGTTTCAGTTAATGAAGGATTTAAAACTTTGCTTCAATCTCAAATTTTCTAAACCCTGTATCTTTGCAACCTGATGGTGTAAACCTTTGATATTTCAACCTAAGAATATTTGAACAGAATTATTAGTTAAAATAGGTCTACTCCATTGGGTTGCAAAGATATAGGGACTAGGAAATCCGAGTTTTGAAGAACTAAATTCCACTGTATGTAATTTTATATGGGCGCAACAAGCTTTTTTAGCTTGTTCTATACTTAGCAATATATCTATAATCTACTTTTTCTATCTCTAGTTTATTAAGCAATATATCTATAATCTACTATTTCTAGCTCTAGTTTATTTAGCAATATATCTATATTCTACTATTCCTAGCTCTAGTTTATTTAGCAATATATCTATATTTTACAATTTTTATTTCTAGTTTATTTAGCAATATATCTATACTCTACTATTCCTAGTTCTGGTTTATTTAGCAATATATCTATATTCTAATGTTCCTAGTTCTAGTTTATTTAGCAATATATCTGTATTCTACTATTCCTATCTCTGGTTTATTTAGCAATATATCTATATTCTAATGTAGATATCTCTAGTTTATTTAGCAATATATCTACAATCTACTATTTCTAGCTCTAGTTTATTTAGCAATATATCTATATTTTACAATTTTTACCTCTAGTTTATTTAGCAATATATCTATATTTTGATATTTCATAGCTCTGGTTTATTTAGTAATTTATCTTTATTCTACTATTTCTAGTTCTGGTTTATTTAGCAATATATCTATATTCTAATATTCCTAGTTCTGGTTTATTTAGCAATAAATCTATATTCTACTATTCCTATCTCTGGTTTATTTAGCAATATATAAATATTCTATTATTCATATCTCTAGTTTATTTAGCAATATATCTATATTCTTCTATTTCTAATCTCTGGTTTATTTAGCAATATATCTATATTCTACTATTTCACTCTCTGGTTTATTTAGCAATAAATCTGTATTCTACTATTCTAATCTCTGGTTTATTTAGCAATATATCTATTTTCTACTATTTCACTCTCTGGTTTATTTAGCAATATATCTATATTCTACCATCCCTAGTTCTGGACTATCGAACTATATGTCAGAGCAGTTGTTGAGTTTAAGGGATTTAGAAGTTTGGCAGATAAATCTCCTTATTTCCTTCATAGTAACATTCGTTACTGAGGTAATTAATAAATATTTGTTTAATAATTACGTTTTTGCCGCCAATAATAATTATACTTTTAGCTGAAATTTTTCAGCTTTTTTTGCAATTAGAAATTGTTAATATTTTCGGATATGAGAGTGGAAAAGTTTGTAAATATCAATAATCTAAACAAAAATAATTGAAATTTTCACAGGCTCTGTGGCAAAACCTATTTCTTGGCAACGTTTGTGAAGAAAACTAAAAGAAATTTGTTCTTTGGCACAAACTTAAATTTTTAATCTCTATATCTTTGCAACCTGATGGCGCAAACCTTAGATATTTCAAACTTAAATTATTTGATCTAACATATCTAATGTCTCCGACATTGGGTTCAAAGACATAGGGATTAGAAAATAAGACTCATTTTCTTTTGCAGAAGATTTTCAAATATCATTTAAATTCTTGAATTCAAAAGCAAGTGGTTCAGTTCTCCATAGAAAATCTAAAGAAGGAGTTTGATATGAAATTTATTTTTGCCACTGATCAACCAAAATGAAAAAATAAATAATCTAAAATTGAAACATTTTGTGTGAAAAATTGTATTGTTAAACACTTTACCAAATTGTATTATTTTATTATTGAAAAATCGTACTCTTGTAGTTTTGTATTATTGTAATATTGTATTATTGTAATATTGTATTATTGTATTATTTTAATATTGTATTATTGTAATATTGTATCATTGTAATATTGTATTATTGTAATATTGTATTATTGTATTATTGTAATATTGTATTATTGTAATATTGTATCATCGTAATATTGAATTATTGTATTATTGTAATATTGTATTATTGTATTATTGTAATATTGTATTATTGTAATATTGTATCATCGTAATATTGAATTATTGTATTATTGTAATATTGTATTATTGTATTATTGTAATATTGCATCATTGTAATATTGTAATATTAATTTAGGTTGCCTCCAACACAGCTACAGCAACTATTGTTGTACCAATCATCATGCAGGTAACATGGAATTAAAAACCCTATCTTACATCTTATTTTGTAAATCAATTAAAAATCTTAATTGTATTCCGCATTAAAGGGACTGTAAGCGTAATTTTAAGTGACCTTCCATGCAAAGATGGCATTAATACCCGATTTACAACGATACCTTTGAAATTAGGAAAGTGTTTAATTCTAATCATTTCTCCATGGTTTCTCAGAAGCAAGAAAGTCATATGTCACTTTTGCAGAGGAACCACAAATAAAAATTAACATGAAAAAAAAAAATAATAACTTATTCATACTTGATCAGACAAAGCTTTTAAGGGTAAATTGCCATCTTTGTATGGAGGGCTGCACTTGCTTACAGTCCCTTTAAAATAACAAAAACTTTCTACATTTGATATTAATCTAATAAAAACTTTGAACATTTGATATTGAACTAATAAAAACTTTGCACATTCGATATTGAACCAATAAAAACTTTGCACATTCGATATTGAACTAATAAAAACTTTGCACATTCCAATAAAAACTTTGCACATTCGATATTGAACTAATAAAAACTTTGCACATTTGATATTGAACTAATAAAAACTTTGCACATTTGATATTAAACTAATAAAAACTTTGCACATTCGATATTGAACTAATAAAAACTTTGCACATTTGATATTAAACTAATAAAAACTTTGCACATTCGTTATTGAATTAATTTTGCACATTTGATATTAAACTAATAAAAACTTTACACATTCGATATTGAACTAAAGGAATTGAGTTTTTGGCACAAACTCTGATTATCTAATTTCAATATCGTTGCAACCCAATGTTGTAGACCGTTAATATTTCAAACTATGAGTGCTATAAAATCAAATAATGTAAGTTTTAAATATTAAAGGTTTACATCATAAGGTTGCAAAGATAAAGGTTTTACAAAAACTGAGTTTGTGGCAAAGACTCAATTCCTTTGCACATTTCCATTTGATATTAAACTAATAAAAACTTTGCACATTTGATATTGAACTAATTTTTCACATTTCATATTAAACTAAGAAAACTTTGCACATTCGACAATGAACTATATAATCTTTCCATATTTGACAATAAACTATAAAAAAAAACTTGGCATATTTTATTTTTTCATTATAATTAATATCATCTTTTTAAATTCCATTAAATTTCCTGAAAATCCGTGTACACTACAATGCAACAAAATGAAGGAAATTGATTGAATTGAACACTTTAAAAAATACAAAACAACGATTTTCCTTTGTAAAGCAGTCGCAGTCCCTTTAATGTTAATTATCTAGATGTCGGTGTCCCTGTGTGAGAATCCTATCTATATGATGATGACAGCAGCTATCTGCTGTAGTTATGCTTTTATGCTACCTGTTGCTACAGCACCTAATGCTATTGTGTTTAGCCACAGTACAATGAAGACTTCAGGTACAATGCTTTAACTAATGCTTTAAATAAATATTGGGGAAAAGTTAAGTAAGTACGAAGTAAGTAATCATTTATTTATGAAAAATAACAAAAATCATACAAAATTAAGTGATTCAGGAGAAAATATTTGAAAACCTCTAAAAATAGAGGTTGTGGGAATATTTTCCCCCAATTCTAACATAAATATAAAAAATAGAAATAAAAGGAAAAGGAAAGGTAAGAAAAGGAAAAGGAAAGTTACATTTTTTGTTTACATCGTATTTAATATAAACTAGTGGTGGATTGTTAGTATTTTTCGACGATGAACTAACAACTTTTAGAAATAAAAATTATAGATTTATTTATAATGTTTAAAAAAATCTTAAAACCTCTGGAAACCAAAAAAGGCTGAATATTCCATTTTTGTAACGGCCGGGCCATTTTTTATAATTATCATATTTTCAATAACTAAGGAGAGATAAACTTACAATTTTTCCAAATTACCAACTGTCCAACCATATAACCCCATGTTTTAAAAAAGATAATTCTACTGTTTTTCAAGAGTTTTTTTTCTTTAAATTAATTCATACTTGACTTAGACACTTTGACCCTATCACGATTCCAACCCCCTGTGGTTTTTCTTTTTATCTTTTAAACGGCTAACACTAGAATACTCAAACTTCTTCACTTTTTAAACTTCATAGTTATGAAAAAATTTTGCAAATCAATTTTTGATGCATAGGGTATGGCGGAGGACGGTTAAATGGCTATTCGATCACTCCTGTATGCCGATTCCGTTAGCGTCTGATCAAATCAGGGTTCAGTCATGTGTTTGTTGTCTATTCTGAACCAATAGAAATAGTATTACCGTAACATCTATATTTCCATCTATCTCAATATCCAATTAGAGATATAAATCCTTTAATCGGCGCTAACAGTAAATGGAAATATTTACTTCTACTGAAATTAAAGTGCGATGTTGCAAAAAAGTAATAAAAATCAATAACTTTTAAAGTAATTTAGAATTAAAATTTACATACCTGAAAAGCCCTAAAAAATGGGAATAATATCATGTGTCACATATTAATATTTGTCGAAAGTAAAATTAATTATTTGTCAACATTTTTCCGTCGTACTTTCTGAACTTTCTGATCTTTTTGAACTTTTTTTAAATACAGAATTAAATGAATACAAATACTTTCTTGACATTTTGCATTTTTTCTAATTTAATGAACAGACGCCGCTGTCTTAAATGAGACAAAAAATATACCTAGAAGAAAACATGTTGTGATAAAAATAAAAAATATTTTTTTTTTCGAATTTTATTATAAGAATCTTATCAATTTGTATGAATACTGTTACAGAAAAAAATTATTTTCTCTCTAATAGATTATTAGAAAAACAAATTCAGCAGAATTTTCTGAAATTATTGTTGATTTTTTTCAAATTTTCCGTTCCTCTGAGGAGCAATAAAGCTTTATTAGATGTGCCATCTTTTATTATATTCTGCCATTTTGATGTTTATTTAGAGCAATAAAGCAGTATTAGAGGTGCCATCTTTTAATTTATTCTGCCATTTTGGCGTTTATTTAAAGCAATAAAGCAGTATTAGAGGTGTCATCTTTTAATATATTCTGCCATTTTGGTGTTTATTTAGAGCAATAAAGCAGTATTAGAGTTGCCATCTTTTAATATATTCTGCCATTTCGGCGTTTATTTGTTTAAATAAACAATATAACCAACCAACCAACCAATCAACCAACCAACCAACCAACCAACCAACCAATCAACCAACCAACCAACCAACCAATTAACCAACCAACCAACCAACCAACCAACCAACCAACCAACCAACCAACCAACCAACCAACCAACCAACCAACCAACCAACCAACCAACCAACCAACCAACCAACCAACCAACCAACCAACCAACCAACCAACCAACCAACCAACCAACCAACCAACCAACCAACCAACCAACCAACCAACCAACCAACCAACCAACCAACCAACCAACCAACCAACCAACCAACCAACCAACCAACCAACCAACCAACCAACCAACCAACCAACCAACCAACCAACCAACCAACCAACCAACCAACCAACCAACCAACCAACCAACCAACCAACCAACCAACCAACCAACCAACCAACCAACCAACCAACCAACCAACCAACCAACCAACCAACCAACCAACCAACCAACCAACCAACCAACCAACCAACCAACCAACCAACCAACCAACCAACCAACCAACCAACCAACCAACCAACCAACCAACCAACCAACCAACCAACCAACCAACCAACCAACCAACCAACCANACATTAGATAGATTAGATAGATTAGATAGATTATATACATTAGATAGATTAGATAGATTAGATAGATTATATAAATTAGATAAATAATATTAAAAACGCAAATTAGATTAAACATTTTTATATCTTTAGGAAAAGCCTGATTTAAAGATTATACTTTTCTTTTTCAGTTTTGCGATAAATACCTGGGGGGCTCCTATTTTTGGTTTATCGGAGTTTCCAGAATGGGCGGTCAGGCCTGGTAATAACTGCACCAGTTTCTATAATACAACATTTCAGGAACAGTCTCTTCCGTCACCAATATTGATTTCATAGACTTATAACGCTATCTTATTATAGATCTAGCTATTTAATTATATATCTAGCTATCTAATTATAGATCTAGCTATCTAATAATATACCTAGCTATCTTGTTATATATCTAGCTATCTAATTATATATCTAGCTATCTTGTTATATATCTAGCTATCTAATGTTATATATCTAGCTATCTAATTATATATCTAGCTATCTTGTTATATATCTAGCTATCTAACTATATATCTAGCTATCTTGTTATATATCTAGGTATCTAATTATATATCTAGCTATCTTGTTATATATCTAGCTATCTAATTATATATCTAGCTATCTTGTTATATATCTAGCTATCTAATTATATATCTAGCTATCTTGTTATATATCTAGCATCTAGCTATCTTGTTATATATCTAGCTATCTTGTTATATATCTAGCTATCTAATTATATATCTAGCTATCTAATAATATATCTAGCTATCTTATTATATATCTAGCTATCTTATTATATATCAAGCTATCTATCTATTACAGAGAAATTTCATGCCTTATCCCGGTTTCATAATCAAAACAATTTTTCCATTTTTCCTTTTTTTTAAGATTTTATGTTAAATGAAAATGCGATAAAATTTGCTTAAGTATATTTGGTTTGATTAAAAATCTATGTACAAAGTTATTTTTTAAGATGTAAAATTCTGTTAAAAAATTCACTGTTCAATTCACATATATTTATATATTTGATGTATAATCATTTTTCACAATACATATCCATTTCACATAATCTCCCCCGGTTAAAATTTTTTTTTTATAATTTACTGATAAATATTAAATCTAAAAAATACACTCTTCTACAAGAAAATTAGTCATTATATATATGTAATTCGATATCAATGCACATAATATGTAATATGTAATATGTCTAGTTGAAAAAATGTATCTGTTTCAATATTTAATCAAAAAGTAATCACAATATTTTTTTGATTTTTCATTCTGATAATATGTTTTTCTCCATTTTTTTGTGGTAAAGTCTATTCTATATTTTTCATTTTTAAAACAGGGTTTTCATCAGATTGATTAGCAACATTCAGAAATGAACTAAATTTCGTAACTTTACTCATTCTTTAATGAATTGTACATCGTTTTGCCAGATAAACCGGATGTTGTGTATTTTGTGAAAACTTTTTTATAATTTAAAGTTTAAAATGATTATTACGTTGTTGGATTTGAAAATCAGAGGCCGAATTTTAGGAATTTGAGCTGCGGCTTAAATTTGAGACGTGACTGAAATATGGTTGGTTCCACTTAAATTGTAGTCAATGTTTCAAGATTCAAGCCGGCGCTCAATTCAAACCGATATTTGGCAATTTTGAGACGCCGCTCAAATTCATTAAATTCGAACTCAGTATTCATAACTTTTGGAAAGAATTAAATATTAAATATTAAGATATATCTACACAGCAGATTGACACAATATTTAAAAAATCCGCGAATGAGATGGTTCTAATGTAAAAACTTTTGCTTATGCACCTGCACCAGTAAAATTACATTCTTCATAAAATTCCAAATTTGATATTTAATATTTCTTTAAGGTATAAAGGGCATATTTGCAATAATAAAGGTAGTAAACTTTTCAAATTGTATTCTTCGCTCTTATTGAATTTATCGTATCAAAGTAAATAGATGTGTTTTAGAATAAATACACAATTATTCTTGTTCTGACCTTATTTATCAATCATAAATTTTATTCTTTGCAAGTCTATTAGATTTTCCAGGCCGCTTCGCGTCCATCTTCGATTTTAACTCTTTAGTGTTGTTCTATCTGCGGCATTTTCTTTTCTTAAATCTTTAAACAAAATACAAAAAATACTGTCCGATTTAGCGATTTTTGACAAATCCAAATTTTTGAGGCAAATTTCTTAAAATCTGACCATTCATAAATTAACTTAACGTGGAGTTTTTTTTAAATTAGTAAATAAAATGCTGCAGTTAATTTCCCCAACAGTTTAAAAAGGTTTATCATTCTTGTAAATAGCTTTATTTATAAATTCATCTTATAAACACAATAACAATCTATATTTCATACAATTCTTTCAACATGAGTTAGTTAGATAGTATTTAATTTATTTCAAATTTTAAGCTTTGCTTCTTCCTGCATTCTCGCAGTTCCATGTACTTTCTTCTTCCGTTATAAACCCTTTCCCTTTCTAATGCCGGCAAATGTTTTGCTTCCTTTTCCTTCTCTACATTATCTTGATGAATACAGTCAATAAGTGTGACGTGACTTTCTTGAGTTTTCAACTCTTGTATTTTATCCTCACTGGTTTCTTGTGATGTCTCATCATGAAACTTCTCGTTCAAGAAGATGCCAATTTCATTCTCAAGTTGATGACATTTATACATCTCCGTCCTCCGCAGTTTTGATTTTTCATATTTTCGTCTTAAATTTTCCTCTTGTTCTTCCTGTTTTCTTTGTTCTTTTTCGTCTTGAAAACAAACTCTTTTTACAATCTTGTTTGCCGCTCTATCAATATTTTTTCTTTTCTCCGAAAATTCTCTGACAATTGCTGGACTATGACTGTGTTTCAGATACTTAGAATTCTTCAAATACTCCATCAATAGATTTTTTTGATTTACTAAATCTTTTTTTGTGTTTTGGATTTCATTCAGATGTTTTTCAATATCTTTGATTTTCTGCTTAACTAGAGTAATCTTTGTATTCTCGCTTGGTTGTTCTTCTTCCCTTTCTTCTTTCCATTCTACTTCCCATTCTTCTTCCCTTTCTTCTTCCCATTCTTCTTCCCATTCTTCTTCCCTTTCTTCTTCCCTTTCTTCTTCCCTTTTGTCTTCCCTTTCTTCTTCCCTTTCTTGTTCCCTTTCTTGTTCCCTTTCTTCTTCCCATTCTTCTTCCCATTCTTCTCCCCTTTCTTCTTCCCTTTCTTCTTCCCTTTCTTCTTCACTTTCCTTGAGCTGGTTATTAGTTCTAATTCTCTTTAGTTTCCAATATTCCATCTCCTCAATATATTGCGGACTATCTCTCCGTTGATACATTGTATAGTTCCCCGCAACCAAGTCGTAGATTTCATCACTTTCTTTCCAACCCTGGCACTTGACTACAACCTTCATAAAGATGTGGTCCACGATGAATTTTTTCCCATTTAGGGATATCTTAACAATGTCCGACCACGGAATGTTAAATTGCGATGTTTCCTTGTTGTCTGGGGAGCTGATATTAATCCCCAGGTTATGAACCCCTAGGGTAACTTGAGAATGTTTATGAAAAACCTGAAACTTAGTAATTCCAAAATTTTCCAAAGTTTGAGCAATTTTCAAATATTCAACTCGACACCTGTTTTGTGACATTCCTCGGTGTTCAGCGTGCTGTAAATACACTTTTTCTTCCAATTCCTCAAAACTTAGCTTAGCCATTGTAACAGGAAGAATCTGACAAATTGGTAAATATCCTCCTAGTTTATGAATTTCAGGATAAAAGTTTCCATATATATTCTGCATATCGTACGCGGCTAAACGAATTGCCTTGTCCATTGTACAATACAGAGATTCATCCAAAATTTTACTTTTTATGTCATGATAGAAAAGAGTAAATGTCTGTCTCTGAAAAATCTCTTCGCAAAAGTTTTGAGGAAAGTATCTGATTTTTAACTGCAAAGGAATCAGCATCTTTCGGACTAGGATACGATGATCTACAACATTTCTTTCAAGTCTCAACCAGTTTATTCTCCCTTTTAGATCTATGTATTGTAAACCAAAATACCAAACCTCGCTGACTCCTATCTTTAAACCAATTTGATCCATTAGCATTGATCCTGTAGTATTGGTGTCAATTGTAAACAATTTCTTTTCATCATAGATTAAAACTTCAATATTTATCCTAGAAAGTCCCATTTCTGACCAAAGGTCTCTCTGCAGTTGAGTTCGGTTTGACTCTATCTGGGGAAAAAAAGAAAACCTGTATTTTATATGAAACACAAGACATTTGAGAGATATGAACAAATTACGTCAATATTTACAAGGATTGTCAGAATGAAACTCGTGAGAATTGTTTCTAATTCAACACGAACACGGTTTAAAGCATTACCGAGGAGGGGGGGGGGGGTTGATAATACCCTCCCCTTCCTTTCTTAATTTTTGGAATGCAAGTCTAAAACAAAAAACAGATCAGAAAGTTTTTGTCAGGAAGGTGTCCATGCTGAAGGTGTTTGTCAGGGAGGTGTTCATTCTGGAGGTGTTTGTCAGCGAGGTGTCCATGCTAGAGGAGTTTGTCAGGAAGTTGTCCACGCTGAAGGTGTTTGTCAGGTAGGTGTTTATGCTGGAGATGTTTGTCAGGGAGGTGTCCGGGCTGAAAGTGTTTGTCAGGGAGGTGTCCATGCTAGAGGTGTTTGTCAGGGAGGTGTCCATGCTGAAGATGTTTTTCAGAGAAGTGTCCATGCTAGAGGTGTTTGTCAGGGAGGTGTCCATGCTGAAGGTGTTTTCAGACAGGTGTTCATGCTGGATGTGTTTTTCAGGGAGGAGTCCGCGCTGAAGGTGTTTGTCAGAGAGGTGTCCATGCTGGGGGTGTTTGTCGAGGAGGTGTTCATGTTGGAGGTGTTTTTTTCAGGGAGGTTTCCAATGTCCATGCTAAAGGTGCTTGTAAGGGAAGTGTCCATGCTGAAGTGTTTGTCAGGGAGGTGTCCATGCTGTAGGGTGTTTCTCAGGGAGGTGTCCATGCTGGAGGGTGTTTGTATGGGAGGAGGTCCATGCTGGAGGTGTTTGTCAGAGAGGTGTCCATTTTGGAGGTGTTTTTCATGGAGATGTCCATGCTGGAGGTGTTTTTCAGAGAGGTGTTCATGCTTGAGGTGTTTTTCAGGAAGGTATCCATACTGGAGGTGTTTGTCAGAGAGGTGTCCACACTGGGGGTGTTTTTCAGGGAGGTGTCCATGCTAGAGGTGTTTGTCAGGGAGGTATCCATGCTGGAGGTGTTTGTCAAGGAGGTGTCCATGCTGCAGGTGTTTGTCAGGGAGGTGTTCATAAAGGAGGGTGTTTGCTTCACCAAAATGAGTACGGTTTCTTAAATTTGAATTAAAATCTCTCGTATCATTCAACAATCTTTAAACTTACAGAATTGCCTTCAATTATATACTTTTCATCTAAAAATGGCTACGCTAAAAAAAGTATAAAAGAAAAGAAGAAAAATTTATGTTTAAATTGTCAAATTTTGATCAAAAGTGAAAAGTTGATAGGTCAAGGACTGAACAGTTAAATCAGTGTCGTAAAACTTAGAATTGTTTGATCACGTGATTACGTCCTCTATTAAACAAGGCGTCATTTAGTTATCTTTAGAGATAAAACTAATTTATAGCATCAGAAGGAAAGTCCTTAAATTTTACGTAAGCCGGAGATAGATAAAAATAACAACTATTATCCAATGGTCTAAGATAGATTTATTTTAACTTTTAAAGTACTATTCCTGAGTTACTGTCATCGTCGTATATATCAATACAATAAAGACGACTTTCGTTTCCAATTTTGATTGCTTCCCCGCTTTCAAACAGCAAAAGCACTTAAATAAAATCGAAAATTTGTTAATTTACAACTTCTCATTGTTTACTTTTAAACTTGTTATTTAAAAATGTTTGTCTGTGCATCACAGCATTATTAATAAAAATTCGTCCTCATTGTAAAAATATAATCGTCTTCTACTGTACTTATTTTATTATTCACACGTTTCTACCTCGTCTACTTTGTACTTTTAAACTATTTGAGATCTAGTAGCTGGAGGTTTGTCTACATATTTCAATTAAGTTAAAAGCAATTTAAAAAATTTATTGAAATCCACGATTCCAAGGTTACAGTGTTTTTAGAATGTGCATAGTGGAAAAGTATTTGTCACCGAAGTGCGTCTATACTTGAAGAGGGGTTGGGGGGAGGGGGGTCAAATTAAATAAGAAAATTTAAAATTCTATAGGAATGTTGAGAAATGTAAGAATGGTTCTGTGATTTATGAATTAGTATAACATTTTCAGATTAAATGTGCCTTTTAGACGAATAAAGAAACTTGTAAAACGTAAATATGTCTTTTAACAGAAAATACAGAATATTATTTATACTTGATGATATGTTCTTGCTTGCACAGACTACAGAGATCCTGGAGATCTTCAGATTAACTGAAACAAGTTTTTGCTTAGGAAAAGTCTTTGGTTTGATATATTCTAGACATTACACCCGAAACTAAGCTTTCGGTGAAGATATTGTAGCGTTTAGTGGAGAATGATGGTATACTAAATCCGCATGTTGAACAAAACACTAGCATTGCCTTCCAACGTGCTCATTAATCACTATAATCTTGTCCTGGAACTGTAACTTCGCCTTCAGGACTTTATCAGGGTCCTCCGTGGAGGACATGACCTCCGATACGTAGTCGGAGGTCCCAGAGCTAACCTCTTCCATGTGGCTGGGAACCTCACACTGAGAGACTCAAATGTCAAATATAGAAAAATAAAATAAAGTTGAAAGTTTTTATTTTTTGATGTCTTGTTGTAATGGAGAGGAAAAAATATTTGAATTTTACCGAAACAAATATGAATTTTAAATCCTAAAAAAATATTTAAGTGTGTTGATTTTGTAAAATGATAAGCCCTGATTGTTTTATAAAAAGTATAAAATGAAAACGTATAATTTACTATGACGTTTATTTAGGAGAAAAAAAAATACAGAAAAAATAAACTAACCCTAATTCTAATTTACAATCTACATATCACGTAAATACATTGTAGAGAGTTCATAAATATAAATTTACTTTGTATGTATAAAGAAAGTATCAAAACACAAACATTCTGCACCCTTCAGTAAAACACCTTTTTAAAAGAGCAAATGCAAAATCCTGGATATGTCTCGTCTAAGAGAGGATCTCTATCAATAAATTTCAATAGTAAAAACCAACTTTTTCGGATGAATTTGGGATTGAAAAGGTTTGGCATTTTGATATCTCTGTTCCTTTTGCTTTTCGACGTCTAGCATCACCGCTTTGACCTCCTTGACCTCTGTGACCTTCTTGTCGGGGATTTCAATGGCGGCTAGCTCGTACTCGGAGAGGTCAATCTCAATTTTATCTAAAAACAAAAGTTGCTCAAAAAAAGCTAAAGAGAAGAAAAAATTTAAATATCTATAGAGAGAAAGATCGGTCGATACATAGATAGGTACGTAGATAGATATATAGTATATATAAGTAGAAGATATTACAGAATATTTTTTAAATACTTGACATTTCTTACTGTTTCTACAATGTTTCTTTAAACCTATGTTTTTTTATATAAATCCTAAAAAGCGTTTAACACTTTTTTGAACTTTTAGAGAACTTTTATTGACACCAAAGAAATAACAAAAATTGTTTTGCTAGACCTTACTTCTTCCTTGAGCAGGGGTGTTTGAACTCCTGAAATTCACAATTTTTTTTTATAATTCTTACACTTGCTATAAAGCCATGGACTAATGAAATATGTACATATTTATTAAATATTTGATAAATTTTGTTTGATTTCTCTGCTTATCTCGAATATTTTATCTTTGACATCAAGGAAGATCTGCCAAAATCTTCGAAATCTTTTAGTTTATCCAATTAACGTAAAAGTATAAACTTATCAGTGTTTTATCTAGTTTCTAACATTTTCACCCTAACACAAATAAGTACTTTAAATTTAAAAATGGTTTCAATCCTTTTTTAATTTTTTTGGTGTTTTAAATGTGATATTACATTTGTCTAATCTTGAATTTTAGATTCTGCCAGTGCAAAAACCAAGTAAAAACAAAAATGTCTTTTCGCTTTAAATTATAAAATTATGCATGTTTGAAAAGGCCTTTGACCCAGCTAATTCAAATTTGCAAAAACTTTTGCCAAATTTTCAAAATCTGAATGTGTAATCAAGAAATACTAAAAAAGCAATCTGTTTATATAATGCAGTTTTCTTTAATCACAATGGGAACATCATTACATTTATTATCCATTATTCCTCCAGTCAGATTGTTAGAACAGTGAGAACCAAAAAACTGTGGAATAGGAAAACTACATTATAGCAATAATTCATTTTATTTCATGTTGTTACAAAGGAAATAGTGACTTCTGAAATCACTTATTAAGTAGAATTGGCCAGTTTACACTGCACAATTGCTGTGTCTCATGTTCATTATTTAAAGTCATGACTTGAGTCTAAAAGTGGTTTAACTGTATCAGTGCTAATCCCCTGCAATATTATCGATTCTTAAGGCAGTATTCTATGGTATTTAGTTTGCCCAGTAACTGAGAGTATACTTAGGGTTGTTTATATAAGAAGCTGAGAGGTTTATTGTTTAAAAACGGGCTTAATTTACACACATCTGTAAAATGGAAATGTTATTCAAATAAAAACAGAAAATGGAGCCTTTCTTGCTCATACCTTAAAGCACATCAAACACAACAAAAGAGGTTAAAAGTACGATTTTGCGATCTAATAATCTAGTTTACAGTATTAACTTTTAATTTTTACATGGTTCTCAACATTAACATTTTTTACAGGACGCCAAGATACAAGTTCAAGCTGCATCATAAATGTTTGTGGATTTATCTATATATCTAAATACTTTGCTTGGTTGCGACTGAACCGAACGGTTGAATGGTAATTTATATAACAAATGGGAGGGTTTGCAGCTGAATTTTAATCAACTTATTAGTTTGCAGCTGAATTCTAATTAATTTATTAGCTTGCAGCTGAATTCTAATCAATTTATTAGTTTGCAGCTGAATTCTAATCAATTTAGTAGTTTGCAGCTGAATTCTAATTAATTTAATAGTTTGCAGCTGAATTTTAATCAATTCATTAGTTTGCAGCTGAATTCGAATCATATTATAAGTTTGCAGCTAAATTCTAATCAATTTATTAGTTTGCAGCTGAATTCTAATTAATTTATTAGTTTGCAGCAGAATTCTAATCAATTTATTAGCTTGCAGCTGAATTCTAATCTATTTATTAGTTTGCAGCTGAATTCTAATCAATTTATTAGCTTGCAGCTGAATTCTAATCTATTTATTAGTTTGCAGCTGAATTCTAATCAATTTATTAGCTTGCAGCTGAATTCTAATCTATTTATTAGTTTGCAGCTGAATTCTAATCAATTTATTAGCTTGCAGCTGAATTCTAATCTATTTATTAGTTTGCAGCTGAATTCTAATCAATTTATTAGCTTGCAGCTGAATTCTAATCTATTTATTAGTTTGCAGCTGAATTCTAATCAATTTATTAGCTTATAGCTAAATTCTAATCAATTTATTAGTTTGCAGCTAAATTCTAATCAATTTATTAGTTTGCAGCTAAATTCTAATCAATTTATTAGCTTGCAGCTGAACGGAAATTTTTTGACAGTATTTCCACGTGAGCTTTCTACATCTATTATCTTTCTTTTTGTGTATTTGCTATCTATCTATCATTTAAGTAGTTTCCCGACCTTTCCTTGAACGTCAAACACAATAAAGTTGGAGATTTTCCCAAACAGGGGGGTGGGGCCGATTTCTTTGTTGAGAAAATTAGTACGCGACGAAATTATGTACTGTTCAAAAATTTGGCTTCATACAGAACTTTCCTGAAATAATCTATAGCTTTTGAACCGCATTTGCCGCATTTGACCGCATTTGCTACAAAAATGGTCTTTCAAATTTAGCAAAAGTGCCAATGAAACTTAAAAGTTAGATTATATAATTCAAATGCATAATTTAATGTTTTCTAGATTAAAGATTCCGTACAATAAGCTTTCCTAACTGTGAAATGCCTTTTTGCATACGCAAACTTACTAGATTTGAGAAAAGAAGGCCAAATTCTTGAAATGATTCCCCGCTAACTGATTTGGATTAAAATATGAATTTGAAACTAGCTTAGAATTCAAAATTTGAAAACTCGTCTTAAACTCGAGTATATTTTTTTTAATCCAGCCCTAAATTTACCGATGCATTAAAACAATTTTATATCAAATGATTAATGTCATCATTTGGTAAAAATAATCGACTCCTGGAGGTAAAAAGTCGAGTGATAAAATGGTAACTAAATTCATTATCCACTGTAAACTCCACGGTTTATTTCAAGTACCGGGCCGAGTTTAAAGCTGCTGGAGCAAGCAGAACAGTACACGTAAAGACTATATAAGGCAAACCGGGACATGACACCAAATGAATGAACCCCTTGCTAGGGAGATTCTAGTGTATAGTTTAAGTAACTTTTCTCATAATCATCAAATAGAACAAAAGTACCGATCGAGACATAATTCTATCATCTTTATCCTAAGACCTTTTTTCGAGAACACTCCCTACAAACATAATTTCAAGTAACCCTCCTTGCAACGATGAATATGCCCAATTGACATCGGTAACCTGAAAGCTTTGTCTGATCAAGTATGATATTCATGCTTTTGTTTTTTTAAATTGTTTATTTTCGCTTGCGAGTTCACTGCAAAAAGTGACTCTTGAATTTCTTCTTTAAAAAAAGCATTATATCATTTACTCTCAGACAAATTAGAATCAATGGAAATTTAATCCCGAGGGGGTTTAAATTTCCATTGATTCTAATTTGTCTGAGAGTAAATGACATTCCTTTGTAAAAATAACAAATTATTTTTATTATTTATTATTGTTTTTAAAAGGGGCGGGATTAAATGAAAATTGTTGCATACCAAAAAACCAGCTTTTTATAAAGGAATGAAGATTTAGAATTACAAACTTTTCTAGTCTGGAAAGCGAGCATATCTTCCATATTTTAAGTAGATTAAGGCTTCAATGGTACCGTTGTAAATCAGGCATTGCCATCTTTGGATGGATTACTTCTAATACGTTTACAGTCCCTTTATGTACTTCTAATTTACCTGTACAGTCTCTTTATGTACTTATAATGGAGCTGTACAGACTTTTATGTACTTATAATGTACCTGTACAGACTTTTATGTACTTGTAATGTACCTGTACAGTCCTTTTATGTACTTATAATGTACCTGTACAGTCCCTTTAAGTACTTATAAATAATGTACCTGTACAGTCCCTTTTTGTACTTATAATGTACCTGTACAGTCCCTTTATAAACTTATAATATACCTGTACAGTACTTTTATGTACTTCTAATGTTCCTGTACAGTCCCTTTGTGTACTTCTAATGTACCTGTACAGTCCCTTTATGTAATTCTAATGTACCTGTACAGTCCCTTTATGTACTTCTAATGTACATGTACAATCCCTTTATGTACTTCTAAAGTACCTGTACAGTCCCTTTATGTACTTGTAATGTACCTGTATATTCTTTTATGTACTTCTAATGTACCTGTACAGTCCCTTTATGTACTTCTAATGTACCTGTGCATTGTACTTGTATGTACTTGTAATGTACCTGGATGAGGTTCAATATAAATACATTTCCAGTTCATGAACCCTGGGAACTCTATGAGGAGTTTAAAGAAGGCAAGGAGGAGAAGGAGGAGGAGGGTGAAGATAAACAACCAGACTACAGCATCAAACATTCTAACCTAAATAGACCTAAATAAACATGGATATTCAAAAAGTTTAAAATCTCATTGGGTTTCCAAAGTGGGGGTCTTTCTTTTTTTGAGAATTCTGATTTTTTAAGACAAAATGGATATCTGACCAAATTTTTATCTTTCTTCCTCAATTTTAAAGGCAGACCACATTCTGGAAATCCCAAGACGTTGTCGATGTTAACTGGATTAAGTGTGATACTACTTCATTCACAGATAAATATGGCACTGATCGCAGGCGATTTGAAAATAAAAATTATACACCCTTTAAATTCATAAATAAATAAAGTTAAATTGACAAGATACATCATTATCTAATAAAGTTTAAAAAGGGTGTTATTTAGAGTCATGGAAGTTCGTAGTAAGATTTTGACTCCACTGGAGACCACCGGAGGGAATTCTTTTTCACTGGAGGGGTTTGAAAAAAAATGCTTTTTACAATTCAAAACTTTACGCAGGGTGATTTACATTCCACTGGAGGGATTCAGATATCTTTCCTAGGAGTTTATAATTCCACTGGAGGGATTCAGATATCCTTCCTGGGGGATTATAATTCCACTGGAGGGATTCAGATGTCCTTCCTGGGGGGTTAATTTTCCACTGGAGGGATTCAGTTATCCTTCCTTGGGGATTATAATTCCACTGGAGGCATTCAGATATCTTTCCTAGGGTTTATAATTCCACTGGAGGGATTCAGATATCCTTCCAAGGGGTTTATAATTCCACTGGAGAGATTCAGATATCTTTCCTAGGGGTTTATAATTCCACTAGAGGGATTCAGATATCTTTCCTAGGTGTTTATAATTCCACTGGAGGGATTCAGATATCTTTCCTAGGTGTTTATAATTCCACTGGTGGGATTCAGATATCTTTCCTAGGGGTTTCTAATTCCACTGGAGGGATTCAGATATCTTTCTGGGGGATTTATAATTCAATTGAAGGAATTCAGATATATATCTAGGGGTTTTATATTTCCAGTGGAATTATAACCCCCCAGGAAGGATAACTGAATCCATCCAGTGGAATTATAAACCCCTTGGAAGGATAACTTAATCCCTCCCGTGGAATTATAAACCCCTTGGAAGGATAACTGAATCCCTCCAGTGGAATTATAATCCCCTAGGAAGGATAACTGAATCCCTCCAGTGGAATTATAACCCCCCAGGAAGGATATCTGAATCCCTCCAGTGGAATTTTAAACTCCTAGGAAGGATAACCTAATCCCTCCAGTGGAATTATAACCCCCTTTAAGGATATCTGAATCCCTCCAGTGGAATTATAAACCCCCAGGAAGGATATCTGAATCCCTCCAGTAGAATTATAAACCCCTAGGAAAGATATCTGAATCCCTCCAGTGGAATGTAAATCCCCCTGCGTAAAGTTTTAAATTGTAGAAAGCATTTTTTGAAACCCCTCCAGTGAAAATAAAATCCCTCCCGTTGTCTCCAGTAGAATCGAAATCTTACTACGAACTTCTTTGAGTCTGTTATTTATTATAATAATTTTAGAACTGCGAAATTTTCGCATTTTTTGAAATTTTTTTTTAAAAATCTGTTAGAAGGTTTAAATAACTAAAATATGAACCCTTTGTAATATTCCTAAACAATCCACAAATTTTACTGAAAAAAAATCCGCAAATCCATGAAAAATTTCATTCTTTTTCATTCTCTGCCTTTCGAGTTTTTGTCACTCACTTTAAAGTTTTTAAAACAAAAAACATCTCCTTGTGTCTGTAACTGTGAGTGATGCTAACATTACTAAAATAATTATCTAGATCTTGGCAGCTTAATCCCCATATTGAAACTTAACTTAAAGCGCAGGATTTGTGTATTTTTGACATGAATATTTGCAGTTTTTCTTTGAACATCAGAAACCGTTCTTGATTCAGTATTTTTTACTTCTTCAGAAATGACAAAGATATCCACAGCTATTTCAAAATTACTAAGAAATTATTTCTATTCAGTTTTTATCCAGCCAAACTTATTTGATTATGACGTATCTTGTTATTTCTATTTGATTTGTTATGTACTTTTGTGAGGTAAATTAATAGTTTGAACTATTTTAATTATATGCATCTTTTAAAAACTGCATATGATGGAAAATTCTTTACATTAAATGCATATCTTGGGGAAAATTTCTTAAAAATATCGATTTTAATTGAACATTTTGTAAACTTAATGTTTTGAGCTGAGCAGCTGAAAGAATTTGGGCTGACAGTTCAGGTTTACGTTTCAACTTCTAAAAAATCTTGTTGACAGTGTGCACCCTTTCAAGTTCTATTCAAATGGCCAGGAGAGGGATGGGGGGACTTTTTAGAGCTGAAAATATTAAATAATTAGGATTAATTTGATTTAAACAAAAAAAATTTGAAAAATAATTTAAAACAAGATAAATAATGATTTTGTTTTCCCCTGGGGATATTCAAATATTGCAACACAAATACTTAAAAAGCTAAAAACAATAGTAATTGGAGTTAGGGGTTGCGAAGGGAAAAATGGGAGGAAATTAAGTTTACTTAAGAACAAATATCAGCACCATATCAAGGAAAACTACAAAAAATATTTTTAAATAAAATTTTTCAATGAAAAATCTTTAAATTCATGCTTGGCGATCAAAAAAAAACCCTTTAATCGTTGAAAAGCTTAAAGTTTAATAAATATGAATAATTCGTTTACATAATGTCTTGAAATTATATAATTTTTTTTTTTTAATTTTATGGATGAAATTATATAAAAAAAATTATAAAGTTTAGGGATGAAATTATATAAAAAGTTGTATTTCTTGGTTTTTCCTCGACTTTCGGAACACATGGCAAAAAAAGTGTTTTTAGTCAATTGCAAATTCATTATTAGTACACCTGAAGTAAAGGTGATGTTACATCACCATTGATTTGATAAGAATCCATCAATAACAGCTTGTACTGTCAGCTGTTGATTATGACGTCGGCTGTTGATTATGATGTCAGCTGTTGATTATGATGTCAGCTGTTGACGTCAGCAGCAAATTGTGTATTCGGCAATTGTTAATGACGTCAGAGGTGTAAGCGGGGTAGGAACAGTAGGTTCTAAAATGGCCACCATAAGTCTAAGCTCTACAGGGACACGAGGAAACATTATTGTTTTGTTAGCTTTCTCGTATACTTCATTAGTGGACCTGGAGTTATAGGGGATTAGGGGACATGCATAGAAGGAAAAGAGGAGAAGCGGGGGGGGGGGGTTATGTCCAAAGTTTTTTTTATTGAAAGAACGAATTTTTCCAACAGATTTGGAAAAAAACGATTGTTTTTTACTGAACGAACGATTTTTTCGAATAAATTTTTGAACAAATGATGGTTTGTTACTGAACTAACGATTTTATTGAACATACGATTTTACTGATGAGCAATTTTATTTACTGAAATAAATGGAAAGTGCACGGTAATTTTAATAACGAATTCGAAATCAATCTTTTTAACGATTAAAATTTTTTTTTGAAATGGGTCGTTCATGAACGATGAACGAAGGAAACGAATAAAAGTCTGCCCAGTAAGGAGAAGGGGGGGCAGAGTGAGAATAAGGGGGGACAGGATCAGTGAGAATACGGGGGGACAGGACCAGTGAGAATAAGGCGGGACAGGAACAGTGAGGAGTAAGGGGGAAAGGACCAGTGAGAATAATGGTGGACAGGACCAGTAAGTTAAGAAGGAAATTTTAGAGCAGAATTAAAGAACATAAGTGAAAATTCAAAAAATATGGAAGAGATGAAAAACATTCTTATAATCATGATGCAAGAAAAGGAATTATAAACAGCAGATGAAGCAAGTATTTAGAAAAGAATACAATTAAGACATTTTACAAAAAAAAAGAGAAAGGACTTGGAAGATGAAAAGATATAGAAGAAAAGAAAGATCAATATGAAGGAAAGTAAAACAGAAAGATTGCTAGCAGAAAGTGGAAAAGAATTTGTGAGACAGGTACAAGAGAAAGGAAGAGAAAGACGAAGAGAAAGGAAGCACAGAAATTAGAAAGGTATATAGAAGCAGGACAATGACCTCGGCTGCGGGGAAAAGATAAATTTTTAAAGGGCGTTTATAAGAAAAAGGAGAAGAAGGATTAAAAAAGCTAAGAAAACAAGAGATTAGAAAAAAAGGAAAAAATTTTGTTAGTATTTAACAGAAGCAAAAATAACGATTCACTTGCCGTAATGAAACATATTTATATTGTACAAAAGCTACGAAAAATAGCTTTAAAAAAATTATCAACGAAAAAAATCTTACCAATTTAAATTCAAATAAGAAAATAGAGTAGAGGCCTTGCAACAAGTCTGATTTTGTAATTCCTATATATTTGCAACGCAGTGTAATCGGTAGAACTTTGATATTTCAATATTAATTCTGTTAGATTAAATAATCTAAGTTTGAAATATAACAGGTTTATACCATCAATTTGCAAAGTATATGGATTAGAAAATTTTATTTTGTGACAACATTAATTTATCTTTTTTTTGTCAAAATTTAAATTGGTTAGAGCAAGTGATAACCTTTAATGAGTGGATACTGGATACTATGTACAGCTTTTAGATAGGGTTTCCAGCGAAAAGGAAAAATCATTTTTCTGCGACCATATCGCTTCATTTTCGCAAAAAATACGAAGATTTTAAAAAAAATAATGCAAAAATTTCGCGAAAAAATTGATGCAAAAATTTTGCGAAAAAATTCAAAACTTTAGCGAAAAAATTCTAAACTTTAGCGAAAAAGTTGCAAAATTCATCAAAAAAGACTAAATTTCGCGAAATTTTCGCATTTCGCGTTATTTATTTTTGCGAAACGTTTCGTTTGCTGGAAACCTTACTATTAGAGCGACGGTTTTCGTTTGTTTTTTACATACTTTATACAACATACAACTTTTTCGTACAGTTAATAGAGCCGACGGTATATTCATATAATAACATACAATAGACAACTGTTATGTACAGTTATTAGAGCGGTGATCTATTTTATTTTGTACATACTATGTACAGCTGTTATGTACAGGTATAGGTGCAAATAATTTGCTTTGTTCTGTACATACTATGAACATCTGTTATGTACAGGTTTAAGCAAAGTTACCTGAAAGTGTTCTACTGGAAATGTTTATCGGTGTCAGGTTCAGTTTCAGAAATACAACAGTCACACGGGCACATTCTAATCAAAGAGAAGAGATATATATATAGAGTGGAATTAACATGAAAGTGTAAAACCGCCATTTTTTGGTTCTGTTTCCATACTGCAGGTGTACTTCACAAATTTGTGGTACATAGCGTCCCATATCATATTAGATTATCTCCACGCTTATAATGCCGAAACATGCACATAATATAAAAAATCAATCGTATTTTTTGCATGTAAATCTGTATGTGAGCAATATAAAATTTATTTAATGATTCGTTCGTTTTAGATTTTCTGATTAGTCCCGGAAATCGTAATTTGGGCCCCGGAACATCTTTTTATAGAAACAAATTCTTGAACATTATTTAGTCTTCTCTAAATCAATTCTCTAACAACCTGGCATGCATACAGATTCAAAGTTCAGTTTCATTCTAAATTCATATTTGCAAAAAAAGATCCGTGTAAAGAGTTGCATAACATATTTGCAAAGAAGAAGAAAAGAAATGTTTTACATCTCTGCAAGGGTATAATGCAAGGAAAGTTAATTGCAGTAGCCGTATACGTTGGGTACATATTGAAACCAGTTCTCTCTGGGCGGAATTTGTAAACAAGAATTTTTCAGTTTTTTGATAATTCACATAATAGTTTCCTATTACCAGAATATTTCATTGATTTTTATGTGAAAGATGGATCCCATGTCAGGCTGTGACATCCGTCTTGTGTTTACATTACCGCCCAGAGACAGTACACTGCAGTACAAAAAATGCGTACACCTCTTAAATAAATTTCCTTGCATTATAACCTTGAATATTACTAAGAAGAATATTTTTTACACTTGACAAAGCAAAACCTGCACTGGATGCTTTGTTTATAACCGACTTAAGATGATGGTTCCAGTTAAGATTTTCGTCTAAATGAACACCTACAAACTTAGAAAATATTTCATGATTTGATTTGCTGCAATTTTTCTAGAAGTTTTGAAAACGAAGAGAGCAAACTTATATATAGGCCTATAATTTGTAAAATTATGCGTTTCCCCAGCTTTGAAGATAGGACGATTTTTGCAGTTTTAAGAATGGTAGGAAGAAATAAATTTTTGAAAGATAAATTAAATAAATGACAGATAGGACCCATGATAGTTGGTATGATATATTTCAGTAAATTTGTTGAGATTTTGTCTGGTCCAGAACTGTTTTTACTTTTTATTTTTTTTAAGAGCATCATTTATAAAAATCGGGGGTCATATTTGCAAAAACAAAGTTTTCATCTGTTCCCTCTGACAAATAGTCAGAAAATTGTTTTTTTTAGTGCCTTTTATTATTAAAACCCTTTGATATCTCTACGGCCCCTGAGAGAACTTTTCCATTGCTCACAAATGCATCAAGAATGTTAATTGTTTTACGTCCCCTTCCTAGTACACTATTGATAGTCAGCCATGATTGTTTACAATCTTTACTGTATTCTTAAAATTTATCATCAAAGTATTTTTTTCGTGTTGCCCTCACAAGGCGAGTATATACTGTATTACATTCTTTACATCTAGATTTAGTTTCCTGACAGGGTTTCCTCAACTTTTTATTAAACAATTTGGCTTTATGTTTTCTCGATATCATCAGTGCGTCAGACATCTAAGGGTTAAAAGGTCTATTTTGTCAGGGAATGAACTCTCAAAACAGTTATCAATCGAATCAAAAAAATTATTAAATGCATCGTCCTGGTCTCTATTCAGAAGAACATTTCCCAATTTTTATCTTCTAAAAATTTTTTGAATTTGAAAAAAGACTCAGAGTCAAACTTTCTAGTTTTTTGTTGGCACTTTTTTTCTATGAATTTATCTTTAAAATCTCGAATATATAAAACAGGAAAATGATCAGAAATATCTTAAACAATAATGCCAGAATCAAAACTGTTAGTGCAAATATGATCTAGAATAGTTGCTGAATTGTGACTTATTCTAGTAGGCAAAAAACTATTCTCAAGAAGCTAAATAAGTCTCTGTGTGGGTTGCTTTAAGCAGAAATCATAAAATCAAAGAAGAACATCTATAGAGACACAAGCATGTCACAGAAGTTAGGTCAATATCATATAATAGAAAATAAATTACTTTTGTGCTAAAAAATGTATGAATACTAGATTTTTCCTGAATAATTTCTTAGTATTGTTCGAATTTTCAAAGCAATCTTTTGCTCACCTTTTTTATTTTAGCTTAGTCAAATCCTGGAGTTTACAAGTTTATCTGTTCCAAGAATAACAGGTGAAAGATATGCCCTAAGAATTGTTGCATAATCAACTAAATTAGTCCAAGTGCAATTTTTGTGTTCACGCTTAAACGCCTAAATATTACAAAATAGAAAATTCAAGAATTTGCTCGAAAAAATATCTTTTGCGCTAAATGTTAACTCTAGGACGGGGTGTGGGGGGGGGGTGGCAGAGCTTGAAGTCACATTAACATTTATAAATAAAGCCAATATATAGAAAGGTCGTTGAAAAATTTTGTTCTAAAAAATCACTTTTTTGGAGAACATAGAATTTTCAAGCAAGCGAGCTTTAAACATACAGTGTCAATTCGATATCACCCTTTTAACATACAGTGTCAATTCGATATCACCCTTTTATTTTTTTTTGCAAAAATCATTGAATTTTTTTTCAAATTAAGTTTATTTTTTGAAATTATCATATTAATTTAAAAGAAAATATTGGCAATCATTGATTTAATTTCAAATTTACCTGAAATCGTTGAATATCTAATACCATATCATACCACATGTAATTTCTTGCTACAAATTCGACACTTGCATTTTTAAGTATTCGTCCCCTGTAACTTGTCTTTACAGTCAAATTGAATTAACTAAACGTTGTTAATAAACTTCTCTACTAACTTAGCACACTCTAAAATCAACAACTTAGAAGTGTACTTTTTCCAGTACGCGAGCTGTACATTAGAACTGTTCTCTATGTGAGGTAAGCTGTGTTGACCCTGCTAAGCTGGAAGCTGAACTAAACTGAAAGAAACTGACCGTATTGTCATCCTCTCCGGTATTACGGAGGAGGGTTGGGCTCATGTCACATCCTAACACGCTAACCTGGCGTGTAAGGGTGGGGGGATGTGTACAAAGAGGAGGGGGGGGGGAATAATGCAAGAAGGGAGAAAGGATGAGATGGATGTATAGTGTTACAAATTGGCAAGAAAATCAGGGAAAAAATCAGTATTTTCGTTCATTAATACTCCACTTTAATTCTAACATTTTTTTTGGCCATTCATAATTGTCGATGGTTTAAGCGATTTATAGGTTTAAAGATATATTTTCATCGTAAAATAAAAAGTAATAATTTGGAATAATTGATTCCCCTTGAATAATAAAATGTAAAATTTTTAAAGATCCGAACCATCTTTCATATAAAGCAATTTTGCTCAACAAAGATCTAACTTCAATGATGTTTATATGAAAGAATGAATGAGTAGAAGTATTGGTCCGGTTAGGTTTCCAACTACCCGGTAAGACTAGAGTATTTGTATTAACCTGAAGTGCGTGTGGCATATTTCATTTGTTTAATTATCTGTCTCTCTCTGGCTTTCTACTGGAACTTTTTTGGACGACAGTACAGGGATTTTAAAGAATTGAAGTTTACTATTAATTACTAAACTTTCACTTTTTAATAAAAAATATTCAAATATAATTTTCTATTGTAATAATAGTTAAGAAAAATTTTAAAATTTTTTTTTTTAAGGACTTAAAATTTACTTTTTGTTGCAAATCCATTTGCTAGCCAAAAATGAGATTTTTTGACATTTTCATTTTCAGCTATTATAAAATTTATACTCCTACTCCTGTAATGATCGTATAACACTATATCTGTAAACCTGAACTACCTTGTACATTATTAATTATCTACATTTGTAAAAAACTACGTAAACCCCATATCATGATTTATCTTAACTGAACTGAAAATAACTACGTAACATGAACGAACAGGTTTAATATCGTCCCCTTTAATTTGGGATCAATGTATAGGTGTAGTAAATGCCGTACTCTTAAAAGTTTGTCCCACAAACTGTATCAGTCCAGGCTCAACCAGTCCACTATCCAAGTTAACCAGAACGCAATCCACCTGGCTCTAAATGCCACACAGAGACACAAGTGTAGCTTATCAATTTACCTTTTACTCAGGCTCTAAATTCCACACAGGGACACAAGAATAGCTATAAAACCAAGCTATTACTCAGGCTCTTAAGAGACACAAACGTAGATATCAACAAGCACTTCCATCCGCTTTAAATGCCACACAGGGACACAAGCTTAGTTATCAACAAGCTTTTACTTCCACTCTAAGTGCCACACAGGGACATAAGCTTAGCTATCAACAAGCTATTACATCTGCTCCACATGGCACACAGGGACACAAGCTTAGCTATCAACAAGCTATTTCTTAAACGATCTCTACCCTAAACGTGGTATGATCTCAACTCAAATACTCAGCAGGATACAATTACTTTACACTGAAATCTAAGCGGAGTTCTGATTCTAATTAAAGTCTATTCTAAATATTCATGTTACATGTTAAGTCAAGTTAAGTGCCAATACGTATTCTAAATATTCTGCAGGTATATAATCTAATCACAATATAGTCGTATAGTCGTACAAGTTTTACGTAGCTAAGGATTAACGCAGTTAGATCCTTAGACATTGTACAACACATTTTATAACAGCATTTATTACATAGCTAGTTTGATAGCTACGCTTGTGTTCCTGTGTTGCATTTAGAGCACTGGATCGTCCCCATCATTTAGGATCGATATATAGCTAGTTTGATAGCTACGCGTGTGTTCCTGTGTTGCATTTAGAGCACTGGATTGTCCCCATCATTTGGGATCGATATATAGCTAGTTTGATAGCTACGCGTGTGTTCCTGTGTGGCATTTAGAGCACTGGATTGTCCCCATCATTTGGGATCGATATATAGCTAGTTTGATAGCTACGCGTGTGTTCCTGTGTGGCATTTAGAGCACTGGATTGTCCCCATCATTTGGGATCGATATATCTTTTTGATAGCTAGGCTTGTGTCCCTGTGTGGCATTTAGAGCACTGGATTTGATAGCTATGGGTATCGCGCCAAGTGGTATTGGTGTTGGTAGTTCGCGGGATTGTAACCGTGTGGATCATCGCCTGGTTGACTTTGATAGCGGACGGGTTGTACCTGGACTGATACAGTTTGGGACGAAGTTTTAAGAGTTCGATATTTACTAACACTCTGATCAAATTGTATATAAACTGTTTCAGGCTGATCAAGCATTTTTCATCTTGTAATTATTCTTGAGTATTTCTTAGAATTTTTCAGGAAATGTGTCTTCGAAAAGTTACAGATTCAAAGTTCAGTTTCATTCTAAATTCATATTTGCAAAAAAATATCCGTGTGAAGAGTTGCATAATATATTTGCAAAGAAGAAGAATAGAAATATTTACATCACTGTAACTCTTTCAAGAAGATAGAGTTTGTTTCTCTTTCAGCTGGAACTCTAACATAATATAGATAAATACTATCCATCTGATTAATATTTCCAATTTGTTCTTCAATATAAGGGTGAAATTTTTTAGGATATAATTTTATTTATTAACTAGCAAACTAATTCTATCGTAATTCCTGGTTTTTAAAAATTACATTCTCGGATACGCATATTTATGATTATGTTCTCTTAAATTAATTCTTATTAGATTGGGGTTCTTATTCTAACCGGTACCGGTAATGATATGTTGGGGAAAAAAAGATGTCCAGGCAATGCCGGGTACCCACGCTATTGTCTGCATAAACATCGCGAAATATTTGAAGTAAAAACAGGTTTTGTTTGTTTACTCACAGTTGGAATGTCCTTTAAAATCTTTTCTTTTATATCTGATGTGTTCTGTAAACTAGAAGATTAATTAACAGCGACCTTATTATTTTAGATTGTTAGTAGACAAGAGATTGCTAACAGCTGTCAATCTTGTGAAAATACAAAGAATACAAAGAATTCACCCCTCACCTTGAAATATAAAACAAATTTGTCCAAGGTTTCGGGGATTTTCTCACCTTTGCTAATTAAAATCATACAAACAATGATTCGGATTTCTTACAGCTAGGTAAGGTTATAATGTCAGGAAAGTTATACGCATCTTTTGTACTGCAGTGAACTGCCTCTGGGCGGTTATGTAAACACAAGGCGGATGTCAAAGCCTGGCACGGGATCCATCTTTCACATAAAAAATCAATGAAATATTCTGGTCATAGGAAACTATTATGTGAATTATCAAAATTATCAAAATTAACAAAATTTAATACTTTTAACCTAAGCGAACACTGATGCATCTTTTCTTGTTTACTAATTCCGCCCAGAGAGAACTGGTTTCAATATGTCTGCAGTGTAGACGCAAATGCAATTAACTTTCCTTGCGTAATAACCTTGCAGGTAGGGAGTCCCCATCGCAAGAGTGGCATGTCATATTCACAACGGTACCATTAAAAGCATTGTCTGATCAAGTTTTTGATCTTGTTTTTGATCTTGTTTTTGATCTTGTTTTTGATCTTGTTTTTGATCTTGTTTTTGTTTTTGAAAACTGTTTTTTACATTTGTGGTTTCTCTGCAAAAATGACTTGTGTATTTCTTACGTCAGAAGCAATGGAGAATTATTAGAAAAAAAAACGTATTTTTGACAAAGAGAATAGAATATATATAAGAGTGGAATTTAGTCAATCCTCGGTATGAATTTTGTCAGTCCCTTTCAGCATGAAAGGGACATGAAAGGGATTTCAAAGTGTACAAATCATGTAAATGTTCACAAATTATATATAGTAGAGTACATTAATACAGTATGTTCCCTAGACTATCCATTTCAATTTCGAATTTTTTACAGCTGTTAATTAAACTTTATAAAATGAATTAGGTGAATAAAAAAATTATTTGATTTATAGTTATAACGGAAAATCATCGTTTGTAAAGTGAAAGGCATAAAGTCTATGTGAAATGATCATTGGTTAATTATGAAACCAGCCTATTTCATAATTTGGTTTTCTTTTAATAATAATTTTAGATTTTCTATAAAATGATGTTCCAGGCTCAAAAGGTTATATAGCACAAATATGTGAAGTACACCTGCAGTATGGAAACAGTACAACAAAATGGCCGATTTACACTTTATTCTAGTAAACTCCCCTCTAATATATATTCTATTCTCTTTGATTATTGATCAAATTCAGGATTAAAGGATACTTATGTGACGTGGCCCGTGGGCAATGGTCACAAATAATTATCTTTATTTATTTACTTTTAGCAGTTTCCCATTTGTTTAAAGCTTAATAATTTCGCAAAACTTTGTTCATCAGTTTGTAAAGACATAAGGTTTAGAATATTATCCTTTGCATGGATTAAAATTTCGCTTGCAGTCCCTTTAAACACTGTTATTATCTCATTCGATAAATCAGACTTGAATTTCTCTTAAAACAACAATCGTACTTTCAGAGAAAAAGCTAAAGATTTGAACAACAAAAACTAATTTAAGATTCTGTGTTTTCTTATTTTTTTACGTAAACACTCTCCGACAGTTTAAATTAATTAAGCTAAGAAAGAAAAGTAGAAAAAAAACAGATTTGGATTCTTACAGTTTACAAAACGTTTTCCATTAGCTCCTTCAGAAAACACAAGAAAAAGATTGAACAAAAAAAAATCTCTATATATCCTATAAAATCTCTATATATCCTGTAAAATTTCTAGATAGCCTATAAAATCTCTATATATCCTGTAAAAAAAAAACTTTTTAAATGGCAATATATGAAATGAAATGTGTACTACCTCGATTGTCCCAAAAACTGAAAATTGATTGACGATTTCGAGATCGTCTAAATTGACGATTTATTTTTAATTCAATATTTTGATGTCAGCTAAGCAACCCTATTATGTGCCTTTAGAATTTTAAACATTTGTTTGTTTATGTTTTGATTGTATGCTGTACTCTATTACAGCATTTAATAAAAAAAATCATATGTATATGTGCATTAACTAAACATACTCATTAAAACATTTTTCAGAGGCCGAATTTAAAAAATTTGAGCCGCGGCTCAAATATGGTTGGTTCCACTCAACAATTGTATTCAATGTTTCAAGATTTAAGCCGACGTTCAATTGAAATCTTTTTTTGGGGGATTTGACACGCGGCTCAAATTCATTAAATTTGGACTCAGGACTGTTCGTCGTGTTTCGTTTTAAAACCCAGAATAAAAAATCAAGATTTTACCATCAAAGGGACTGTAAGCGTAATTTCAATCGACACCGACGGGCAGCCGTAGTACATTTGAATTTCCGAGCAAGGTCAACTTTTCCGGTCCTAGTTTGTACTGTATCGCCCGGACATTGGGTAAATAAAGCAGACACTCAATAGAACTCTAGCCGGTTTAACAATATTGACGCGATCTGATTTTAGATTGAATTTACTTTTACCAAAGGGTCAGGGTGCGTGCCCCCTCAATGCAAAGATAGCAAAGTCTGATTTACAACAGTATCCTTAAAGCTAAAATGTCTGATAAAGTATGAATTGAATAGAAATGTTTTTGATTATTTTCATTTGTGGGTTCTCTGCAAAAGTGAGTTGCACATTTCTTTCTTACAAGAAGCAATGGTGAAATTCACAGAAATAAACATTTTTTGAGTCTTTCATCCATTTTCACAAAATAATCTATGAAATATTCTGGTCATTGGAAACTGTAATGTGAATTTTAACAAAAAAATGTTCAATATAAAATGCTTTTAACCTCCTCGGATACTAAACGAACACTGATGCATTTATTATTGTTTACAAACACCGCCCCGAGAGAACTGGTTTCAATATGTACGCAGAGTATTCGCGACCGCAATTAACTTTCCCTGCATTAGTACCTTGACAAAGACGATCTCAAAGTCGTCACTGGAGAAAACTAGAAAAAACCTGAAGCAAAGTTTATCCTCGCCCCACTTAAGTAAACTAATTACATTTGGCAGATAGAAAGCTAAAACATTTAGAATATTTATTTTTAATTCTGTTCTTGGAGTGCTAATCCCTAGGGTAGGGGGAGTCAGGGAACACACAGAGTGGTTAAAAACTGCAAAAAGAAAGCAAAAATACATTCAAGAAAATCCATAAAAGTTTCCATTTCAAGAGTTATATGTTTAGATAGATATATATTTAGGACAACATCGCAATAAATTCATTTTAAATTTCATAGTTTATAAATAAATTATCACTAGCCATTTCTACTTGTTTTGATTGACTGACCCTGTAAAGTTTTTTACAAACATTTTATTTTTAGAAATTCACAAATGAATATTACATGACACAAAGCACAAAATACTATTACAAGAAAAGAAAAAAAAAAGAAAATAAAAGTTTGATATACTCTTTAAACCTTTGTAAGTAACACTGATAGAAATATCGTTATTTTTCATTCTTAAAGATTGAATATTTTCATTGTGGATATTCTACAAAAATGAAAAGCTAAGTGTTATAAAACTAACAAAATTTTTCATTTTTGTAAAAAGAGATTACAAAATTAGCTTTCCACCAAATTTTCAATTTGTTAATTAACAAATATAAAATGCACAAATTTTTTTTTATTTTTAACCCTATTCCTTCTGGGGGGGGGTCAATTTAACCCCCCCCCCTGTAGTTTTTTTACATAAATCAAAAAGTATTGGTCTGAGGCTGTTGACATTTTTTGACTTTTCCTACATACCCAAAGCCCTCCCTTTAGGCCTAAAACCGGGCTTTAATACTAACTGCCTGAGTCCTCAGGCACACTGCCTGAATGACTACTTTTTCCTGTAATAAACTAAATCTTTGTTTTGACCCATTTCCACTTGTCAGATTTTGATTAAATTTAGCTTTTTGGAAAGTCTTTGACATAAAAAAACGAATTGCACAAGTTTGCGAAAAAAATTGCAAATTTTTTGCAAACAACCTGTCAAAGGAAATTTGCACATTTTTAGTTTTTCTTGATTAAAAATCAGGTTATTTAAAATTTTGCAAAATTTTTTGCATATTTAAAATGGCATGGTCAAGGCCTTTTCAAAAATGTATAATTTTTTATTTTTTGGGCAAATTTTTTTTTTGCAAACATTTTTACTATATAACTGGATTTTGCGTTAAAAAATTCAATTTTTGCAAATTTGCAAATTTTTTGCAGATTCTAAAAGTAGAGCACAAAAGCTTTCGAATGATGTATCATTTGTCATATTTGGACATCAAACATGGGATTTAGAGGGGGGGGGGTCAAATTGACCCCCCCCCAACATATCCTGGTTTTCAAGTACCCCAGCAGAGATAGGGTTAAATTAAAACTTTTCCAATGTTAAGTTTCATAAATTGTTTTTTATTTAGTTTTACTTTACAAATAAATTTAAATAATTTTTTACGAAGATGTATTTTGCATCATTTGTTAAGAGTAACTATTTATTCTGTTTCTTTGATTACATGTTTTAGAAAAACAGTATATAAAGGCAGTTGGATCAGTTATTAATGAACGTACGTATATCCATGAACTTTTGTTGTAACTGAAATATTAGATCTAAAGAATTTCCTTCTAGATACATTTGTCTTTTAATTTGAATAGCTCTTGCATTATTTAATTTAAAGAAGGAAGATATTGCCAACGTCATCGTTGTATATGGCATTTATTCATTAGTTGAAACAAAGAAACAAATAATTTGCTTCAATTCTAATCCTAGTATCTCTGATGGTGTAAAACTGTGATATTTTAGTCTTTGACTATTTTTCCGAACAGATCGAATTAACAGTTGAATTGTCAAAGATCGTTGACATGAGGTTGAAAGATATACCAGAAAACTGTAGTATACAAATACATCATTAAAGAAACAATTCATGGTTTTGATGTTGTTACAAAGCAAACAGTTTTACAAGAATATGAAATCATTTATTTACTAAAATAGGTCTGTTATAACTACGAAATTGCTATGCCTTATGTTCATTTAATATTTGAAGTCATAACTTGAGTCTAAAAGTCGTCTTCCTATTCAAAAGCTTTCTGGTTATCGCTGTAAGTAAGAAAAATAGAGTATTCATTAATTCATTTGCATTCAAATACAAATTATATATTTCTGATGCGAGAAAGTATGATTGTTGCCGCTGATCTATATTCAGGATTGAACAGTGTATAGATTACTGGATTCACCACAGAGTTAGAATATGCCAACCACTAAATATTACAAAGTTAAACTCAAATTTGGCAATTCCTATATCTTTACAACCTGATGGTGTAAAGCTGTGACATTTTAAACCTAGATTATTTGATTTAACGGAATTCTTAATATCCACGACATCGGGTTGCAAATATATTGGAATAAGAAATTTAGAGTTTGTGGCAAAAACTGAATTTCTTTGATTGTTAGAAAATAGATGATTCTAACTTTTTCAAATGTTTATGTGCATTTTAATTTTAAAAAATAGAAAGGGAAAAGTAATTTATAATCTTTAAATTTCAAAATGGTCTTTTTTGAAGTGCCTTTCTAATGACACTTTGCTAAACTTTAAAAGTTTTACGTTTTTGAATTATAAAGTGAACTTTCAAATCCAATTATAAAGTTAAAATATGTTTTTTGAAAAAATAAAAAACTCAGATTATAAGAAGTGGTTGACCTGGAAAGCTGTGAGAATATGTGGGTGAGGAGCAGGGCACCTGGAGCAGTATAGCACTGTAAGAATGGAAGCCCAGAAAGGTAAATAACACATAATAAAACAACCCACCACCAGGACCATTACGATCACCAATCGTCTCTCCCTAAAATGATTCATGAAAATAATTAATGAAAAATAAATCGTCACTTCAAATCATCGAATTGACATAGTAACAATCGTTTTTTTTACTAAAATTTCATAAAAACAAATGTTACAATGTCTTAATTGTTTTAAGATGAAGGTTTTCATGATGCTTCAATTACATTTTCTACTTTTCATTATTTAGAGATATCAAAAGTTGAATTTGTGGAAAACTGTTTTAAAAATGTCTCCTTATAGCAGAAACATCGGATTGGATTAGGAAAATTCAAATTTTTTAATGCCTAATAATTGTGCAGCCTGATGGTGTAAACCTTTAATATTTTAAACTAAGACTATATGATCTAGCACAGTTCAAAATATCAATGATTAACGAAATCAGATTGCAAAGATTAAGGAATTTGGAAATCGGATTTTTGGCAAGAATTGAGTTCAAATTATTTTCCTTTGCCTTTTATAGAACGTGTAAAGAAATGCGCAAGTTTTTAATTGCGTGTTTTTTTTAAAGAAAAATGAGGTAAACAGGGATTTATTTTACATAATTTTGGCGCTAAAGATAAACCTGAATACTATTAATAATTAAATAATTTTTAGCGGAACCCATACAACTGTGAAATAGGAAGAAGACTTTTAGACTCGAGTTCAGTAAATTTGAAACACAACAAAAATGTAGTGTATACTGTACAGTGTACACAGAACCACAAATTTCCTAGAGGGAGGGGATTTTTAACCCGTATCACTTCCTCTCCCCGCCCGATATAGACACGTTTAAAATGTGCCATCCACCCCCCCCCCCCTAAACTCTAAAGTACTCACCCTTCCTTCCAGTTCAGTATTTTGCTTGCATTTTAGTGTTAAAGCTTTATAAAAGTATTCTATTTATTGGATCACCCTGTAATTATCCTATGGTCTTAAAAATTATACTGTCAAGAGAAATGAATTAGAATTAATGTTAAACATTTGAGGGTATTGTTCTTAATCTGACACTCCACTCTTATAAATAGAGGACCAATCTGCTTATATTACCCCCGAGTACTGTAGTGTACAGATTGACATTTAAAAGTGAAGAACACGGCCTGTACAATTAGTAAAGGATTAGCGTACATTATTACTCTATATACTATAACCTCGTTGGTCCCACTTCAGTGGGTGTCCCTCGAAACTTGACAATAGAAAGGAGACTTGAAAGTTGTCTTTGATTTTTGAAATACTTCATAACTTGCGGCATTTTACAAAATTTCCAAAATATGTTTTGCCTTTTTTGATCTGTCGTAACTCGGACATATTAAAGTCGTCTTCCTACAGTCAAGTTTCGTGGGACACCCTGTACAGTGTACAGTGTACAGTGTACATACCTAGCTAGGGCAGCTGATAGCATTCTAGGGTTTACTGATATTGTTGATAATCTTCCTCCTTGATCCGTACACGGTACTCTGAACATAACAAACAATTTCGTCAGTTATTTCGGATAAAATTTAAAATAAAAAAATCTTAAAACATCACAGAAGGTTTGCAAAACTTTTAGAAAAACTCTTAAGGTAAAATGTCGTTTTTACATTAAATCCAGGAGAACGGAAATAAAGTCAAATGGATTATTTCACTTAGTATGTTTTTTAGCTACCCATTTGTTTTTCAACAACATCAAGTACACTTAAAAGTGTTTATAAGTCGTCTTATGTTCAAAAGTCGTTTTATGTGGCTCACTGTGAAAAAAAATGAAGTATATTTATGTTTGAATAAATGACCTGAGTGATTGTGAAGGTTCAGCATCCTGCTCATTTGTCGAGACCTCGCCACCTATTCAGAAAATAATCAATCTGAGCTCATTTTTAAAAAATCTGAAATTTTTGACCAAATATTTTAGGCAAAGATAAAACAGACATTCCTAACCTAATTTTTACTCTAGTTTGACCTAGTTCTCATTCTTTGAGAAAATACAATTATTTTGCTTCTTTTTTCAAATTTAAAATTAATTATTGACAATGTTAGCTTTAATCTGTTGTTCTGAAAGATACCATTTGTAATTGTTCTCGAATGTTCGTGGATGTTCTGTTTAAACTGCGATGGAATTTTAAGAATTTGAGCCGAGGTTTAAATCCGCCAAAACCCGGTTTAAATTTAGCGCCGGCTTAAATCTTGAAACATTTGAAACAATTTTAAGTGGAACTAACCATATTTAAGCCGCGGCTCTCTCTAGGAAATTACCAACGGTTTTGACTTTTATGGGATACAAACACCAAGACTAGTTTAAAGTGCATTTCCGTCGTCTTTGACGACGGAAAGTATTTCTTATTTAAAAAGACTGTTTAAATATATTGTCAAATGACGCTGTGCCTTAGAACCAAACTTTTCCTATCTTATTTAAAAATGGTAACCACCATTTACAGTGAGAACCAAAAAACTGTAGAATAGGAAGACGACATTACAGCATTTCTGAAGTGCATATGATGTTGTTACATAGCAAATAGCTTTACTAATATGATCTTCCTTATTTATAGAGAAAAAAATTATCTCACAAGATTAAATAAGAAATACATACAAGGATGGATGCTTTTAAATGGCGGAAATAAAGTGATATATACAGGTAATAATTTGAATTTGCAGTTATGTTTACCTCTAAGAAGCATTGTCATTGTGACTGCTGTATTGCTTACAACCTAGAAGACAAACCTGAGTTTATTCTGATTACTTGTTAAGTTGTTTGTTCAAAAATGCTTATACCTGTAAATTTCGTTGCTTCGCAGAAAACCTTCTTTTGAATGCTCTATTTTAGAAAATTAGTAGTTTATATATTTCACAGTTCACAACAAAAACAGTTTGTCCCAATAAACAAGGAAATTGAGTGACGAATACGAGATTTTTTTTTAACTGTTATGCCTGACTTACAAAGTTTATTTTATGAGAACGGTAAAAGGATGTAATGTTGTGAAACTTGTGAATGTAATATTTGTACAAGATGATCACTGAAAACAGTAAAGAAGGGCAAGTTAATTTTGTATTTTTACAGGAATTTTCATAAACAATCTCAAGGAATAATAACACGGGCAGCCGTAATACATTTGATTTTCCGAGCAGGGTCAACCTTTCCAGTCCCAGTTTGTACTGTACCTTGCTCCTCGCTCTATGGACAGGACTTGCCGGTACAACAAGGTTGACGCGGTCAGACTTTATGCTTTATATAGGTTGAATTTACTTTTTCTAAAGAAGCAGAGGTGCGTGAATAATTGTCTTAAAACTTTTTTTAATTTGAATATTTGCAAATTATCTTTTTTCCATTTCTTGATCTGAGTTCGTTTTCCTTTTGTCCATTTGACAGCCCAAATTTTTTTAAAATAATCTTTTGTTTATTTTCTTGTGGTTTTAACATTTTTTTCTTTTTTTTCGATTTTGATGGTTATTATATAATTTAGAACTGCGAAGGTCAACCCAGACCGAAATAAATTATCAATAAATAAATAGGTAGACATGTCAACACTGCTGCAACCCAGCACAATCCAACCTAGAGAATAGGTAGACATGTCAACACAGCAGCAATTCAGAACAATCCAACCTAGAGAATAGGTAGACATGTCAACACTGCTGCAATCCAGCATAATGCAACCTAAAGAATAGGTAGACATGTTGATACCGTTATAAACCCCGAAATTTAACGATGTAGTTACCCAATTCTGTTTATTTACTCCACATATTTTCGAATTATATATTCTGTTTATTTACTCAATATAGTTTCATATAGTTACACTTTTCTGTATATTTCCTCAATATAGTTCAAATAGTTACCCTTTTCTGTATATTTACTCGACACATCTCTAAATTACCATTAACTTACCCGATGAAGTGAATTCTTCAGTGAAGTTCTTGAACTATAGGTTATAGGTCTCTGAACCGCTTCAAACCTATGAAATCAGAGAAAAAACTGAACGCTTGCTGAAAACTCTAATTTTTTAATCTCCACATTTTTGCAACCTGATGGCATAAACCTTTGATTTTTCAAAACTTAACTATTTGATCTTGCAGAATTATTTGGTATAACATCAAAATTGGTCCACGAAATCAAGTTGAAAGATAAAAGAATTAGTTTTAGGAGAGTGATTAGTTCTTGTAAATAAAGATTTTTTACTTTAAAAAAAAAATAATTAATTAGTCGAAGGAATTTTTAACACTAAGCAATACCTTGATCCGAAAAAATCATTAACCAGATTTTTTTTTTAAAAAAAGAACAAATAAATTTTAACAAATTATGGTTAATGTGTTTATGGCGCTGTGATGTTGAAATTGCTTACTTTAATTTGTTTAATTAAGGATCACAACTAGGCCTATCTTCCCACTTGAAGAAGTTCTATGACCGGAGAAAAAGCCGATTTATCGTTTAGAATTCCATGATACCTTTGCATGGACACTATTTAAACGATTTTTCAATAACAACAGCGCAATACGATCTAGAGGAATTGAGTTTTTGCCACAAACTCAAATTTATAATTCCTATCTTTGCAATCAGATGGTTTAAACCGATAATGTTTCAAACTTAGACTATTTGATCTGACAAAATTCATAGTTTGAAATATAAAAGGTTACCGACATTGGGTTGCTATAAGATATATATAAAACAGTTAGAGTTTGTGGCAAACCCCCATTTCCTTTATCATATTTTAATGATATGACAAAAAACATCAAATAGTGTAAATGCAAAGGTATTCTGGAATTCTGAATGATAAAACGGCTTTTTTCCCAGGTCACTATTGTTTTTGAAAAGTAACACTAATACCAATGAATACCTAATAGGCTATTTAGTTTACCCTCAAATTACCCAAATCAAATAGATTGTTAAGTACAATAGATGGCAACGCAGTATTTGTAATTGCAATTTTTTTTCAAACAACCTGTCAAAGGAAATTTGCACATTTTTAGTTTTTCTTGATTAAAAATCAGGTTATTTAAAATTTTGCAAAAATTTTTGCATATTTGAAATGGCATGGTCAAGGGCTTTTCAAAAATGTATAATTATTCATTTTTTGGACAAATTTTTGCGATAAAAAAAATCAATTTTTGCAAATTTGCTTTTTTTTGCAGATTCTAAAATAGGGTTAAAAGACATGTCAAATAATGTGAGAAAATTTCGTTCTCTTTGTTATATTTGACACTTGTGACGTCGTGTATAATTGATCCATTTCACTGTTGCCACATATTGTACTTGATAATCTATTTGACCCAAATAAGTGAACGGTCCCTTTAGCTATAAGTTTACCTATCTAGTGCAATATTGACAAGGTTGAAAATTGAAATTGTTGAGAGCACTAGATCCATGTATAACCAAACCTTTAAGAAATAGTGTAGTTGTTAAAATGTAAATAATAATTGTGCACAACTCATAGATATATAAGAATATAGATAATATAGCTAATGCAGACTGTAAAGCTAAAGATTGTACAACCCCTTGTACATCATGAACCCCCAAAAATGTGTACAGAGAACAAAGATACTTGCCACAACTCTTTAAATCCAATGTATTGTATGTCAGTAGCTTATAGTACCATAGCTAAATTGCTATTTTCAAATTGAGCTGAAACCATCCGGTATTGTGAAGACGACATGAGCGATCTATATTTTTGTATATCTATGGTACATCAATAGTTTATACGTTACAAGGAAATTATGGTAGTTTTTGACTTTTTTTGCATGCAAACACATCCAGAGCTCTGCAAGGGATGTGCGTAGGCAAAATTGGTCAAGGAAACTCGTGGTTAAGTAACATTTTTTATTTCCCGAAAAAGTAGGTACACAAAATTTTATCGTCTTTGGAGACGAAATTTTTTAACAAAAACTTCGCAGAGCGGGTCGTTATTTTTCTAAACATAATCTCAATTGAAATTAATATATTTATTTTCCCTTTTCTGGTAAAATGTCCAAATGAAACAGACTTGGATTAAAGTGGTAACACGAGTTTTGTAAGAAATGACTGTTTGATCTGTGAAAATTTGACATGAATAAGTAGAATATAGATAGATACCACTTTTAAATGTTAAAAATTACTACAAAAGTTACACATCTAACCAAACCAAATAACAAAACTATTTAGCATTTTTTTATACCTTGCAGAGAATCCCTGGAAAAATCCACCTACAAGAAAAAAATTAAATGGTTTCAAAGTATTTGAAATTTCTAAAATAAAATAGAATATAACAAGACAACTTAGAATTTATAAAGATATATCAGAATATAAAAGAATATGTAAGAATATGCTGAAATATATTAAAATAAATTAAGATTTAAAAAAAATTCATTAGAGTATATTGAATTATATTAGAATATTTTCTAATATAGTTCAATATATTTTGATACTAAAATATGTTTGAATATATTAGAATTAGAATTATTAGAATTATATATATATTAGAATATATTCTAAAAGAAAATATATTTAAATATCTAACAATGCTTGAAAGCCAGGACACATGAAATGATCAGGAACAAGGATTATCTGTATTGGAATGACATCTATCTACCTATATCTATCTATATAGCTATCTATATATTTATGTATTTATCTAACTGTCTATCCATATATCTAACTATATATTGTTTAATAGAATAAAGTAATTGTTTGAGTGACACTTTCACTTTTAAGTGTTTAATTGTAATTCTTTAACCCTATTCCTTTATTTTTTTTACATAACTCAAAAAGTATTGGTCTGAGGCTGTTGAAATTTTTTACTTTTCCTATAAATCCATAGCCCTCCCTATAGGTCTAAAAAGTCCTCAGGCACTGAATCTTGACTAAATTTTGTTTTTATCCACTTTGGGGTTTAGATTTTGATAATTTTTAAGTTTTTTCAAAGCCTATGACTGTGACATAAGGAAACGGATTGTCAAGTTTTGAAAAGAAATTAATTTTACATCAGGTTATTTAAAATTTTGCAAAAATATTTCCATATTTGAAATGACATGGTCAATGACTTTTCAAAAATGTATATTTTATCAATTTTTTGAAATTTGTTTGCAAACATTTTGACTACATATATATATATATATATATACTGGATTTAAAAAAAAAAATTTTTTTGCAGATTTAAATGTAGAGCATAAGTGATTTTTAAATATGTATCATTTGGCATATTTGAAAATCAAACATGTGATTTAAAAGGGGGGGGGGCAGCGTATCATGGTTGTCAAGTATCCCAGCAGGGATAGGGTTAAGGAACTGTTCTGCTATTTAAAAATAACCAAAACTGCCAATTTTTTTGTGAATTTTCAGAAAGGTGAATATAAATTCCTTTTAGGAAAGAAAAACGAATATAGCTCTCTATATGTCATCGATTTTTAAATGGGATTATACAGTCTTATTAGATACTTGTTAAATAAGGAAACACTCCAAATAAAAAGTTAGTTTAAACCACTGTTTCCGAATGATTCAGAAAAACTTGAAATTACATATTCCGTATTTTGTTACGTAAGCAAAGAAAGTTGGAACCTGCTAAGGAAGTTTTTACAAATAGAGAAAGGCATAACAAACATTCCTGAATAAAAACATCATAAGATTCTTTAAAAACTGGGACTAAGAGAAAATCATTATTAAAGGGACTGTTATAGTATTAGTTCTAATGACTAGGATCGATTTATTAAGGTACCCTTGAAAACTTTGTCTAATCAAAATTGAATGAATCATCAATGTTTATCTCTTTGAAAAATAATTATTTTCAATAAAATGGTTTTATTTAATATTTGCGCATTTCTGCTGGAGAAACAATGGTAAAATTATTAGAATTAAAGGGAGAGACCGACTAGACATGATAGTTGAGCTAAAAATGCAATATTGTACTGAAAAACATTAGGATTGATTTGATGCCAATGAGACATTTTTACGGTGTACAATTTTTAAATGTTTAAGTTGCTTACAGCTAGTATCAAATGAACCCTAAAGTTTTTGTCTATAATACTGCACTTTCAGCTTAAATATGTTACATAGCCGCTCTCTCCCTTTAAGCACTTAAGGTAGAAAACTTACCAATAGCTAGATCTGAGCTGGCTAGAGACATGATGTTGATGTTGGCAGGTATTCGGATACTAGGATTTATCTTCCAACTACCCAGGATCAAAATATTTCCAATTATCTAAAATGTACTGCAGATATTATTGCTGGAAAATGAAAACGAGAATCGCAGTAACTGGAATAGTAAAAGCATTTACCCGATACTTAAATTTTGACGCAATTTTAACTGAAGTCCTAAATAATTTGTTACAGAACACGCTCTGGCATTTTAACAGTTGTTAACAAAAGTTCTTTCAGATTCCAGATACTGTATTTCTAGCAATCATGTTGACACCCCTCCCGAAACACTTTTAAGGTTGAAAAAAAAATACTTTCAGTAAATTAATTTAAAAATTTTTGGCAAAACTTTTAAAATGATCTTGTGTACTATTGATTTCAAAACCGAACCCTCTGTGCTGCTCCTATATCTGTTCAATTTACAGACATCATAATAAGATTAAAAGATGTCAGATATTTGAATTTGTCTTATTTTCACTTCTTACCCCGAAATATTTGCAAAATCAACTAAAATAAAATAAAATTCATTTTTTGCTAAAAGTTTACAAAATAACTCACTTAAAGTAATTTGCTTGTTTTGAAAATATCAACGTTTTGGTAAATAATCGCCCATCGTCAAAATCACTTGGCCTGTGCATTTCTGAAATCCTCTTTTATCTGGAATAACTTGTAAATTTGAATTTTGTGATTTGGCACACCTGGATTTTCACTGTCAAAACGGTATGTCTGAGTCATTTTCTCAACCTTAAAAGTGTTTCGATAGGGGTGTTTTTAGAGCATCAATATCTAAATTATTAGTTACAGAGGAATACGATTTAGACTTGAGTTATGTAAACATCAACTTACGTTAGAAGTGCACATAGACATTTTACATCATAACATGTCAATTTTTAATATGCTGGTAACACTAGAATCAATAGCTATAGCTGGCCAAAGGCTTGACCAAATTGGGAACCCATGAGTATCCTGAGGATCTCATATAGTTTTTAAAAATCGAAATTTTTTTCTTCTTCATAATTATAATATTTTCTTGGAACGCCCAACGGCGAGCACTATAGCTAGTATATACAATAAACTCATGAATACTGTTTAAATGTCGGCTTCCTATACTACACTTGTATGGGCCCTACTGTTAATATATATTTATTTTGAAAAAAAACTTGTAACCGTTGAAATATTGATGAAGATGAGTAGTACAAGAATACCCCACCAGGGAGAGTCAAATTCCACCAGCAGCAATCTAACAGTTTTGACCATTTAACACTTTTAATACAGGTAGGACCATTTAACATTTTTAATACAGGTGGGACCATTTAACACTTTTAATACAGGTGGGACCATTTAACACTTTTAATACAGGTGGGACCATTTAACACTTTTTTGATAAAAATTTCCAGATCCTATCAGCAAGTATCTTAAAAATTGGTTCTACATTTAAAAAGTAAAACCAAAATGAAAAAAAATGTTTTCTTACTTTCAAATTCATTCCGTGCAACATGTTTTCACTAGTGCTAGCGAAAATATTTTTTGTCAAAATATGTAGATATGAGCATTAAAAAATCCGTATTGAAAAACTGAATTGAAATCACAAAAACCAACGACTGGGCAATATTTTCAGTGGTTAGAGGCGTAAATTTAGATACCCTTATCGACATGTTATGAAAAAAAAGAAAGATTGGTGAATTTAAAAAATGCTTGCACTAAGCTGACCCATTTTAAAAAGTCGGAAAAAAATGTACAGAATGTTTTTTTTAAAAGTTTAAATGAACAATTTTTACTGCGTTCTGGTAATTTTTGACAAAAAAAATCAGGTACAGTTAACCAGGATATGCTGGGGGGGGTCAATTTGACCCCCCCTCTAAATCCCATATTTGATGTCCAAATATGACAAATTATACATCATTAGAAAGCTCTTTTGCTCTACTTTTAGATGTGCCTGAGGACTCAGGCAGTTAGTATTAAAGCCCGGTTTTAGGCCTAAAGGGAGGGCTTTGGGTATGTAAGAAAAGTCAGAAAATTTCAACAGCCTCAGACCAAGACTTGTTGAGTTATGTAAAAAATAACTACAGGGGGGGCAAATTGACCCCCCCCCAGCAGGAATAGGGTTAAGCTCCTTTGAGAACATGTTACTTTACCTTCGTCCGTAGACCTTTAATATTTTAAACTATGAATTGTGTTAGATTAAATAGTTCACTCTAAACTAGACAGAAGAAGAAGGTAAAATGTATGCGATATCACATGTACACGGCTTTATGTGCTCGTAGCTCCTCTAGATTTGATTTTATGCAGAATTATGCGACGTAATTAACATTTTTTTGCTTTTTAATAAGAGGTGTTGAATATTATTGAAAGCATGAGTTCAATCCAACGTGCAATTAATTTTAGTTTGACGAGAGTTTGACGTGAGGCTGAGTTTGAAATATCAAAGGTTTACGCAATCAGGTTACAAACATAAAGGAATTGTGAGCGTGGGCAAAAACACCACCGTTCTCAGAATTTAAAGTTGACATATCCAAAATATATGTACCCATCTAGTTACAAATATAAAGGGAATAGAGCGCACCAATGTAATAGTCTTTCTGGTAAATCTTTTGTTGCTGATTTTTCTGCAAGCTTTCTGTTCATTTTAAAAAAAAAAAAAAAAATTTCACCGATTGTCTGGTTTTATTGTCGGATCTCCAAAATAAGAAAACAATTTTGAATGCTGATCGGATTTAATCTTCATAAAAGTTAGGCCTGATAGGTTCAGCCGTTTTTACATTTATATCAAATCAACAGACAAACAAGCCAATTATAAAGAAAGATATAGACCCCCCCACTAAAAAAAAACTCAAAAAAGTAAGATAGGGTTAAGTTTTTACAATGATAACTTCAGAAAAGATTTTATGAACTATACCTTGTATTTTCAAAACTTGTTGAATTGATCTCCTCGGACACGTTTTCAGAAATATTTGATTTAATGAAAGGATAAACGTCAATATCTACCGTGTCGGAGATATCAACGCTGATGTTTCCTGGATCTGTAACCGGGAAACTAATTTGATCATCGTTGCCAGTGAAAGGTGTTTCTTGAATAACAGACGGAAATTTAGACAGCTTCATTTCCTGGACGTAAGCTGGAAATCTTGACAGCTTGGTTTCCTGGACGAAAGCTGGAAATCTGGGCTCTTTCTGCCTTTCCTTAACAACATTAAATCCATCAAACGAGGATATGTTCATACTCAAGTCTGAAAAAAAATTCACGAAAATATAAAATATTTGGTTTTTATGTTTTTCTAATTGAAGTTTGAAGTTTGAACGCTCACAATGCTGGTAATGGTATCCTTAAAAGCTTTGTCTGAAAAGTATGAAATAGTTATCAATGTTTATTAATGTTAATGTTAATGATTATTTTTAATTGTGGCTTCACTCTCAAAAAAGTTACTTGCGCGTTTCTACAGCAGGAAAACATATAAGAATTAAAAACTTCGGCTCGGATCGTAATTTTCTAAAGCCCAGCTTAAAGACCCAATCTTAGACTCAACTCTGACGGCAGCTTTTGTCACGTGATTGACAGCTGCAAGATCTTAGGCTCTACTTAGGAGTTAGGCCCACTGAAAATAAAACCGACCTTGGTTAGTTTTAGTGGAGATTAAGGCTCGATGTTTATTCAAGTTCTCATAAAAACCCGGAATGCGCCTATTCCTGCCATGAAAATCAGCCAAATAGAATGTTAAACCGGTTTTTTGAACTCAACTTTAATGCTGGAAAATAAGATGCAGTTAGAATCCAAAAGCTCTAGTCGTGAATAAGGCCCGACGACAGCTTAGACATGAGTCGTATTTTCTTGAATTTTTTAAATCGCCGGCTCAGAATTTAGCACTTATATTGATCAATAATTATATAAAGGTTTCAATGGTAAAGAGGGACAGCTGACTAAATTTACGCTGGCAGTCCTTTAAGAGAAACATGCTTATGGGAAATGAAGTTTAGATATCTAAATAAGATTTAATCACAATATCTATTTCATATGTATTTCTACAATAGTATGTTTACCCCCTGGTCCCTATAAGTAAAAAATTGTCCCAGATAAGACCTAAACTATAATACCTTATCTATCTACACACAATAACCATTAAACGATTCTTAATAGATACAGTAAACATTATAGAACAAATACATTTTTCCGTTTTACAAGAGCAAGCAGAAATTGTGGTGGAAATTCAGAGGTAATTATCAGGATTTAGTTTTTATACAATTCAGAGGCAATTATTAGGATTTAGTTTTTATACAATTCAGAGGCAATTAGGATTTAGTTTTTATACAATTCAGAGGCAATTAGGATTTAGTTTTTATACAATTCAGAGGCAATTAGGATTTAAATTTTATACAATTCAGAGGCAATTAGGATTTAGTTTTTATACAATTCAGAGGCAATTAGGATTTAGTTTTTATACAATTGGGAAAAAAATTTAAATACTTTGGCGCAAAATGTAAATAAGTTTTAGCTTTATACCGCGGGGTTAAAATTAAAATAATTAAAACTATGTCTTTAAATTTTTTGAGATACAGATATAGAATTTATATCTTTTAATCCATGGGCTTTTTGCCCTTATAAAAACTTACCCTCCCCCCCCTCCCCTCCCCGGCAGACCAAGGGAGGGGATCACATAGATTCAGTCTGCTTATAAACAGTCTCATCATTTATTAAGACAGGGTCAACTTTGAAGTGTCGCAACGCCTTGGGCTTAGATTTTACCGCTCATTTATGCTTTTCGGTAGCCCTTTACATGCACTATAGTGTACTTGATGGTAGCTTTGGTTTTAAGGAAATAATTGGCAAATTTCTCATCGATTTTTGCTTGAGAGCGGCGTGAGACCTTTAAGTCACAGTGGGATAGCCTCGGGTTTTAAATATACTGTTATGAATCGGACTCTTTAGATGGAGGATTACTTAAAATTTCGTCGATTGTCTCTTTAAGTCTGATCTGCTGTTGTGGGTTAATGTTAAACATAACGTCGTCAGGTAGGAGGTAAAGATTAAACTAAAGATCCCCAGAATCAGAGGTTTATAGATAAGCTTTACATCAATATACACATTACACTTACAGGCAAGGTTGTATAACAAGGTTGGTTACTCTCGATGCGCTCCAATGTACGGAAAATGTCGACTCCTAAGATATATAGATAGATAGATATAGAGGCGAAAGTGACGTCATACAGTTAAACCCTAAATAAGCCATACGTCGAAAGAATTCATTATATGTCGTATTCTTTAGTTTCTGATAATGGAATGTTGGAGATATTTAGTTTTTTAATTAAATGATTATATGGAACTCTTTAAAACTGTTCCGGCATATTCATGGCTATTTATTTATTTTCGCAAATACTGAGATTTACGTAAAATAGTATAAAACCCATTGAAAAATTGTCAAGACAACATTTGATAAATTCTTCTTTCGATGTATGGCTCATTTATGGTTTAACTGTATTAGGTGTTTATCTATCTATCTTAGGAGACGACATTTTCCGTACAATCGAGAGTAACCAACCTTGTTATACAACCTTGCATACCGGGGTGCTTAACTAGTTAGTTATTCAGAGAAGAAGAATAAACAATGTGTAATTTTACTTATTTTGTTTTTTACTAAAAATAAATGTGTAAAGCTCTAAAGGAACCCTTGTGAATCAGGCATGTGAAATTTTAATTAGAATGGGGGGGGGTAAGAGTCACTTGGATTTCGTTTAGTATAAAAAATCCTCATAAAGTGTGTTTACATAACCGAAGGAGCTTTTTGGATAAAAATTTAACAAACACTGCCCCCCCCAAAAAATAAAAAAAAATTTCGACTTTATTAGAAATAGATCGATGTTGAAATATAGATGATATTAAGGAGAATTGAATAGAAGGAGGGGGCGATAGGGTTTCCGTACACTTTGCTGTGACGTTTTTGGACTGCTGAAGAACTAGTTTTTGCGTAACAACAATAGCAAAGGCAGCCGATCTAATGTAAACAAACATGAGTTAGTATACGGCGAATCTTCATCTAACGCCAGAAATGCCAAATGTTTGTTTATCATTTGTGTTATTGTTTACAATCTTTATTATTGTTGTTACGCAAAAACAAGTTCTTCAGCAGTCCAAAAACGTCACAGCAAAGTGTACGGAAACCCTATCGCCCCCTCCTTCTATTCAATTCTCCTTCATTGATATCATTCTTTAGAATAATTTTTGTATGAGATTACATTTTCTAAACTTTGACTTTTAGGACAAAACAGTAAATTACTGAGTTAAAAAAATCCATGATATTATGGTTAACTATCTCATAAAATCGTTTTTATGTTTTCCAGATCCTGTACACAGCTGATAGCCAGCGGTCAAAGTAAATCTAAATGTTTATATAATGTATGTATAATGTATACACACCTTACACCAAGAGAGTATACATAACATAGAGATCAGTTAAAGTTTTAGGACAATTCTTCAGTATAAGTCGTTTTAAACAATTTTCTCCTTATAGACGCAACAGATAAAAGTAAGATTAGTAGCGATCAAAAGCAATTATTTCTCGTCGTCATTTTAGCGAACACTCCCTTTAAACAATTAAACCCGAAACGAACAATTTTTTTTATGAACATATTTCTGAAATGTAAGCTACCACTTTTAATTATTTAATTACCGTTGAAGTTAAGCATCGAGTTTTTGCTTGGATGTAGCTTTTATTTAATGGAATGAAACATTAAATATTTTTACAATATTTCGCATTTGTCATATCATATGCTGCATGTGACGTGTGGTTAATAGCAATTGTTTATTTTAAAGAACAAAACCTTTTAGAATTCATTTAAGAGGATTAAATTAAACCCCGGAACAATATTTTGTTTATTTTTCGCAGATTTTATTCATAAACTTATTACTGAAATGTAAGAAACACTCTTAAAATTTATAACAGGGTTAAACGTGGGAGTTGAGCTGAGAATGCAGTAGTGTAGTGAAGTTTTTTTTTAAATCATTTGAGACCTATTAAGACGTTAGTACGGTGTATAATTATATTAGAACTATAGTAAAATTTATAAAGGTCTCCAATGATTTTAAAAAAATTTCTTTACAATACTGCATTCTCAGGTCAACTACAATGTGTAGCCAGACACTCCCTTTAGGACAATATTTGAAAGAAAAACGCATTAAATAAAAACTGCAGTAAAGAACAGCCTTTGATTGTTGCCGCCATGTTTTATGTTTGTTATTTTATTATAAATCCGGACAGTTTCAAATTTCTAAAGAAGACAAGACATTGTTCGTTATTATCTTGCAGATTAAACTTTAAAGAATAAGTTGTTTAATATAAGGTCAGAGAAAAACTAAAGCTTTACTGTATTAGAAGTAATTTCAAGTTACCCTATACAATTATAGATTGGCATGTCGGGTTCTCAACAGTAACCTTTTAAATCTTCGTCTAATCAAAACTGATGATTAAAGACTTGTTATTCGATCTGAAAATTGGTCATTTTCAGTTGAACTTTCTTTATGAGATTTATGCAGTAGAGAGAAAAAGGAGACATTATTTTCCTGATTTAGTGGCTAAGATTTAAAACGTACTGTTGTGAATAGGGCGATCAACTCTTCATCACTTCAACAGTAGACTCTCATCCATATTTGATATTTTTCCCATTTCCCAGGCTTGTATCATCCATTGTCTAAATTCTTTTTAAATTACTACTACTCATCCTAATTTGTAGTTTGTACTGAACCATTCAAACATAAATTAAAGGGACAGACCGGCTATGTAAGTTAGTTAAACTTAGGATTCATTTGAGACACTTAAAACTTTTTAAAGATCTGTAAATCCTGAATTTGAGCGCAAAGTCGACGTTCAAAATTTTACTTTTGTGTGGATACATTTTCAGAATTCTTTTCTTTTTAATTATTAAATAACGACGATAAAAAATGTAAACAAAATTCTACAGTAAACAAATTGGTTGTTTAAGAACAGGTTGAGAAAATAAAAATTAATCTTATCATCGAAAACAAGTAATCTTATTCAATTATTAGTTTCTACAATCTCTCTTTGATTACAAAGATTTTCTGCAGATTTTCTGAAATTTGTATTTAAAAGACGACATTTGAAGGATTTGAAGAAATGTGCAAACAAATTCATAGAAAAAATCAGATATTCAATGTAATGATAAAGAAGGAAATGATTGATTTTTCGATTTATTGACAAATTTCTTTTTTTCGTAGATTTAGAATATTTTTTTCCAGATGTTTCGACTGCTGGGATTAATTTTCATCCTAGTGGGAAAAACTGGAGCAGCTGAGAATAAGGTTAGATATTAATCAAACCTGGGGCCGAAATTAATTAAGTTCAGGTAGGTCGCTGAACCACAGACAGAGACGGCCGGTAAAACTTCAGGAAGTATTTAGTCGGTGATAAAAATTTGAACCGGTGCACGGTAGGCAGTTAAGCGATCCCTCAAATTCATAAAATTTTGTGTTTGGAAAGTACTGAACACTAGTCAAATTCAAATCAGTATATCTGTGCAACTTAATTCTGTTTGTCAAACTTTGAGAGTTTTTAGTTTGAAATATCAAAGGTTCAAACGCCAAAGATATAAGGGTTAGAAAATAGATCAATTATGGCTATTTTTAGTTCCTATCACAAGAGAATCAATCGTGAAAGAAACAAATTGTTGAATTCTTGAAAGCAAAACATAACAAAACAAGATAAAACAGGAAAAAATGTTTTTTTCTGAAAAAAACGTATTTTCAATAACTTGTTGAAAGAGTGAAATGTAACTATACTGTCAAATTGTGTATTTTTAGAATGAAATATAGAAAGTTAACATACGGTTCAGTTCAGATTCATAAATAATATAATGTTGAATACGATCAAAAACTCAAACTATTCCAATTCAAAAAATGTTTTTTTGTTCAGATATAAAACAGCAACTGTAGACCTGAGAGACCATTATTATCATGAAAACAAATGACCCCCCACCCCCACCCCCCAATCAGTAATGATAAAATCAACATTCCCAAATTTCCTAAGATTTTACTCAATAGTTTGAATCAAATCAGAATAACCAAGGTACTAATGCTAGGAAAGTTAATTTTGGCCGCGTATACTCTTCGTACATATTGAAACCAGTTCTCTCTGGGCGGAATTTGTAAACAAGAATAGATGCATCAGTGTTCGCTTAGTATCCGAGGAAGATAAAAGCATTTAATTTTGATAATTTTGAAAATTCACATAATAGTTTCCTATAAACAAAATATTTCATAGTTTATTTTTGTGATAAATGGATTCCATGTCAGGCTGTGACATCTGTCTTGTGTTTACTTTTCCGCCAAAAGACAATACACTGCAGTACAACAGATGCGAACACCTCTGAAATAACTTTCCTTGCATTAGTAACTAAGTTTGCTCGTTTAGACTGAGAAGGTTTGTGTTTGCGGGATAATGGATTGGGATAAAAATTTAACAGCGCCTCCTCCATACTGGCCGAGGTATAATATTCTAATAAATATAATGTCCAATATTATGATAAATGATCAGAAAATACATGGATCCATTTGTTCCATAATCCCGAACCAGTACAAGGATTTACCGTTCTAGCTATACACATTTACTCGCACCAGCCCGTCTAATGAACCTATAGTGTGTATGTGGACTAAACGCGTTCTCTGCAAAAAAAAGTATTTTTACTCTTGCATGTTATAATGATGCTATCATGTTTGAGTTTGAGTTGTTAGATATAATTAGAGTTTATAAATCAAAACCAAATTGGTAAAATGATGTGTAATTTCAATTAGATTTGGAATTATGGTATTTAAAGAAACATAGTTCCATATAACCTTCCATTTATTAAGGACATGCATAATTTACAAAGGTATCCTTTAAACCTATGTCTGATCATTTTCTCGCGACTTGGTAAAATGGTTTACATGCACTAGCTGACATTAATACTTTTCTTTAAAATCTCGAAGATTTTATGTAGTCAAACACGGTTTATAAAAATGTCAATGAAAATATTTTTCTTTATCGACTTCTTGAAAGTAAATATCAATGTTTTGCATATATAAAACGCAGTTTATAAACCAAACGTGTCTGAAGATAAAGAAGGCGTGTCTGTGGATGAAGAAGGCGCGACTGTAGATAAAGAAGCAATGTCTGTAGATATAAGATGGCGTGTCTGTAGATAAAGAAAGCATGTCTGCAGGTATAAGAAGGCGTGTCTGTAGATAAAGAAAGCATGTCTGTAGGTATAAGAAGGCGTGTCTGTAGATAAAGAAAGCATGTATGTAGGTATAAGTAGGCGTGTCTGTAGTTAAAGAAAGATACGCGGGACCATGGCTTGAAATAGCGCATACAGCGCAGTTAAAATATTGATTTAAAATACTGATGCTCTAATATTATTCTAGGTTTGATCCTTACAAAGCCTTGGTTTCTCTTCACGCAAAGTTTCCTAAATATTTCAACGAGGTAAACAGTCCTATATCTTTGGAACCAAATGTTGCATACCTTAGATATTTCAAACTGTGAATTCTGTGAGATCAAATAATCTGAGTTTGAAATATCAAGGTTTACAATATCGTGTTCTGAAGATATTGAGGTTTAAATATCTGATTTTGTTCCAAAGACTCAATTCCTTTAATTTAAGTAAAATTAGAACCAATGAAAATTAATCCCCCGAGGAGGATTTAATTATCATTGTTAACAAGTTATCATTGAATCCCCAGAGGGTTTAAATTTCAATTAATTCTGATTTTGAGAGTCAAATTATAACCTTAAAAGGCCCAATAAACATGAAACAGAGAAATTGTGCAGTGTTAACAGACCCATTTCATCAGTAGTTTAATAAGTGTCCAGTAAAATTATTTGCTGGTTAACAACATCAAATTGAATTAAGTATTGCTATAATGAATAATTCTAGGTTTGATCCTTACAAAGCCTTGGTTTCTCTTCACGCAAAGTTTCCTAAATATTTCAACGAGGTAAACAATCCTATTCATATCTAAAAATAGAAAATAAAGGAATTGAGTCTTTGCCACAAACTCTGATTTTCTAATGCCTATATCTTTGGAACCAAATGTTGTAGACCTTTGATATTTCAAACTATGAATTCTGTGAGATCAAATGATCTGAGTTTGAAATATCAAAGGTTTACAACATCGTGTTCAAAGATATTGAGGTTTAAATATTTGGTTTTGTTCCAAAGACTCAATTCCTTTAATTTAAATAAAATTAGAACCAATGAAAATTAAATCCCCGAGGGGGATTTAATGATATATTATCATTGTTAACAAGTTATCATAGAATCCCCAGAGGGTTTAAATTTCAATTAATTCTGACTTTTAGAGTCAAATTATAACCTTAAAAGGCCCAATAAACATGAAACAGAGAAATTGTGCAGTGTTCACAGACCCATTTCACCAGTAGTTTAATAAGTGTCTATTAAAATTATTTGCTGGTTAACAACATCAAATTGAATTAAGTATTGCTATAATGAATAGTCTTCCCATTCCAATGTTTTTTGGTGATACCTGTCAATGATATTCTTAATCTTTTATATAGTGCTGGTTTTAATATGTATGCAAATCGTAAATAAGTATTAGCGGGATATAATAAAAACTGTTGAATCCCTAAAAACAAACCTTTGATAAAGAAATGATTGATCACATTAAAAAAAATATTAATTCAGATAATTATTTTGATATTATCAAACGGATTTTTAATGTGATTTTAAAAATCTTTCAGTGAAATATGCAATTTACATCGTTTAAGTTATTTAAAAATTAAAAACAATATCTACAATCATAAGGAAACTCATTACTCGTCTCCGACTTCAATTTTCTAATCTGATATATTGGCAACCTGATAGCGTAGTGGACAGTGGTAGATCTTTAACATAATTATGACTTCCATATAGATCCAGGGTGCATAAAGAGTTAATTTATTTAATTTTCAAAACTGGATCAACTTCTGGATCAATGTATTTCTGGAAGCTCAAATAGTTAAAGTAAGAATACCTTTGGTTAACACCATAAGGTCGGAAGCTATGTGTATAGAATGTGTATAGAGACCATTAACTATTAGTGAAGTTGTTTTAGAAGGATCTTGTCAAAACAAAACTTAATTGTACTCATGAATAAAAGATATTCAATTAAATTTTTGAATTTTTTTTGTACAGGGTGACCTGTAAAACATGAAAATCTAAAAAACTTTGGTAATTCATAATTATTTAATTTTCTTCTAAACTTTACTTTTCATGCTTTAGTTATTTAGATCTTTAAAAGAAGATTCCAAAAATATCTTTAAATTTTTTCTAGCAAAAAAAATAACAATTTTATAGATTCAAAACTAAATTACAGGGTGTTCTTTTGGTTTTTTTCGCGAATTCAAAATCTTGTTTTTTGGGGTTTTTTTAAATTGAAATTTTTTTTTAAAAAACCCAATTTTTAAGTTACGTCAAATATAAAATATGTTTTGAAAGCAGGAAATCCTAAGGTAAGCGCGGGAAAAGACAAGACAACATTCAGTTTAAGAAATAAGGCACTTAAAAAAACCGGGTGAGGTTCTCGTCACTAATGGGTTAATTTAGAAACTTGATCTTGACATTCAATAAGGGGCATATTTAAATTTAAGGATCAATGCTTGATCCCTGTATCAAAGTTATCATCTTATTAAACATTGGTAGATTTCTTATTAAACATTGGTAGATTTCTTATTAAACATTGGTAGATTTCTTATTAACCAATTCTTATGAGCCTATCTTTTAAATTTCGTTAAACGATTAGATAATTATCTATCCCTCCTCTATCTCTCCGTGGAAGACTGAGAACTATGTTAGTTTCTTCCAGAGATTAGAAGAATTGGCTTTAGCTTTTAATTGAACAATATTAAATCATTTATATTTCCGATTATTCTGCAAACACAAAAGGGCAGACCACATTTTGGAAATGACAGGACTAGGGTTAGCTTATTCGTGTCTATTATATCAGGTATGTGATAACAGCTTCTCACTGCGTGTGTCCGACTGATTACTCGGAGAGAGAAAAACTGAAAACATGTCATGAAGGAAAGGAACGGATAAAGGTAGAAAAAAGTACAAAATTATTGCACATTTTTACAAAATTAATTATATAAAAATCTACTTTTTTTTCATTGTATGAAGTTTATTCAAAATGATTTTAAGACACATAAAATGAATTATACACCTGCCTAAAAATCCGTAAATCTTTGCAACCACGAAATCTAGAGGAGTTCATGCTTTTGATTTATTTAAGGTCTATCACATCAAGTTGCAAAAATATAAGAATTCGGAAATGTGAGTTTAATTATTAATCTTATTTATGTTAAATATTCTAGCTCCACTCGAACTATCCAATTCAAATCGATATCTGTCTGGCGGTCAGTGATGAACGAGAATGCCAGGTTGTTTATTAAACTCCTAATTTCTCTACCAATACAATACGCCTTGTTGCACACTTTATTTTTATTTATTATTTGTACTTTTTAATTATTTTTTATTGCGAATATATACAATGTCANAAAGCGCGCTTGAATGTTTTTTTTATAAAAATTATTTTAAAATTAGTTATCTTTGTTGAATATAAGTTAGAATAGGGTTATGTTTTATGTTTTTTTCTTATAAATCCTCTTTTTGAAAATCAAAAATGTGTTAAAATGCTTTATATATATTTGTAATATATACATATGTAACCGAATAAATTCGCCTTTCTCATATTTGTGCGAAAATCAGAACTAGAGGAGCAACAAGGTCACACAGTCGTACCAGTAATGTCAATTGAAATTGACCATTTCTTCCTGGCTAATTCATGCAGTTGAAAACCTTTGATAGTTTAAACTTATAATACTTGATTTAGCAGCATCGTATGTTTTAACTATCAGAGATGTGTGACAGGTAAGATAAAAAATATTGTTTTGGATACTAATCCAGTGGACACACTTTTTAATTGATCTTGAACTCCTTAAAACGGAAAAAGTAGCCCATTCCTGGGACCGAGTTTAGTGTGTTGCTGGGTCGCTGAATTGCCTAATACCGGCGCCGGTTCAAATTTAAATCACTTTTCTTCATCTATAACGTTGAAACAGCATGCACAAGTTTTACCCTCAGCTGTTGTAGAAAAAGAAGGATTAGGAAGTTGAATATTTAGTTTGTTTATATGAATTGAATCTAGATGGATATAGAATATGACCGGGCCTACAGGGTGACTGAGCTTGTGGTTCGGAAAGAACGCTTGGCGAAGGATAATCTAAAAACCTTTGACATTGCTCTTCTCAAACTTGACCGGAGGGTGAGTCAATTTACCAAAAAATATCCAGATAAGGGATTGAGTTCTGTGGATTTACTGTCACATGTTATGCAGATAAATAAGATTTATGATGTGAATATGTAGTTATAGAATGTGGTTGTTAACTTGTGGTTTCATATTTAATTTCAACGTGCAGATGTTGAAGATTTTTTCATGCAAATTTTTACGATTTAAAAATATCTGACTGTTTGCATTTAAATTTTTAGATTTCTTAACAAAGGGGAGATCAATGTAATGATTCATAGTAAAAAACTTTTAATTTGATTTTTTGTTTAACAAGTGTTCAAAGGAAATGAGTCTTTGTCACATCTCTGATTTTCTAATCTCTATATCTTTACAACCCAATGTGGTAGACCTTAGATATCTCAAACAGTCAATTCTGTTTAATCAAATAATTTCAGTTTGAAATATCAAAGATTTACACCGTCAGGTTGCAAAGATATAGGGATTAGAAAATTTTAGTTTGTTGCAAAGACTTTGACAATTACTTTGACAAAAGAAAAGTTTTGGTATGAAAAATATATGAAAAATATATAAAACCAAATGTAACGTGTCTTTTAGTCTTACTTAATTTTTTCATGCGGTAAATTGGTTGAAAAAAGTCTTTCCAAACAGAACATATTTTTTTATATCACAAAAATCTAAATATAATTTAGGTTAGATTTAACACTGATATTTCTCCTATATGTTTACCTGGTGCTCTCCAATTCAAGAAACCAACTAATGAGGTAATGTGGTCGGCATTTTTAAAAACTATAAACAAGTGATTTATTATTTTGAAATGTTCATGTTTATTGAAATATTGAGGAAAACATGAGAATTCAGTGACGAATTTTTTATCGTCTTCGATACTTGTGAAGTTTTTTGATTAACACAACTTCTGCAGTGTTTCAGCTTAAACATCAAATAACGAAAACGCCTGGTCTTGAGATTTTCAAAATGTGGTCTACCATGTGGTAACCTAATCTTATACTTGCATCCTGAAAAGTGTATAAAATTCAACCAATCAGAAGCCGGGAAATAAAAAATTTTTCGCGCCATTTAAGCTTACTGTACAGAAACGGGAGGTACTCTCTAATTTTGAAAAAAACCGGTTTTTGATTTTTCTGTACTGTATCCAAGAAATTAAAAGCGTACACATTGGATATTCGGATTAAGCAGTCGGGATTAGAGGTATCCCAGCTCAGGATTAAGAAACGGCACTTTTGTCCGATCAGAAATGATTCTTCTAAAATTTAGAATTTGACAATTTCTAACTTTTGATTTTTTGTTTTAGTTGGCTTTTGTTTCTGGTTTTGGAAACACAGAGTACTCACCGGAAAAAGGTAAAATTAAATTTATTATATTTTTTTAAAGGACGACGACATTCAAGTAATTTTATGTGTTCTTTTATCTTATGAGCAAACTTTTATAATTGGAAATTAACTTATTATGTGAAATCGGTCTGTGTACACTGTACATGTAGTAAACGCCTACTCCATAACAATTTCTGTAACAAGTATCTATCAAGGTACAACTCAGATTCTCTTTACTATTAATGTCAATACACAGCTACACCACTACCGATGGGTTTTAGCTATTGGGTGTCAATATGGACACTAGCAATTAATTGATCAATGCCTCAATCAAACAGGATCCACATGGCTACAATCCCGTTAACTATCAACGCCACTGGCCGCGATCTTGTTAGCTCTAAATGCCACAAAGCATAACTATCAAACAAGCTCTTACTCGATCTGTACCAAATGCCAAGATACGATCTCAGCCCATATATTTCAACGAGGACTCAACTACTCTACACTCCACAAAGCGGAGTTTCTATATTAACTAATCTATTAACTAAAATATGTTAATTAAAGTTAAAAGAAGTAATTACAATTCCTACTTCGTTATCTATATAACATGATTAAGACAATCATGTTGTGTATTACAGCACAGTTTAAGTAGGTGCAATTAAGACTTACTCTCATTAGATATATCACATGATTTAAGCTAATCATGCTACGTATTTTTTTAAACGCAGTTTTAACAAATTATGGGTTTCATGTAAAAGTTTACAAACATTACAACATACTTCAGGTTTACAGAAAATCATGTTTATATTATTTATTATATACACGGCTTAGTTGCTGTATTTTGCGTCCGTAAGGCCATTTAAAATCAAAACTTTGGTCTAACAGTCGTCTTCCTATTCCACAGTTTTATGGGTCGCCCTTAATTTTCTTACTATTACTGTGTTCAGATTTTGATTTTATATATTTTAAAATTAGACAATAAAGCTGAATGTGGGACAGATATGTTTCTTCCAAGGTAATATTTTGTTTACTGTTTAATATAAGTTGACCTCATTAAACAAATTACAAAATTCAAAACAAAATTTTGTAGTAAAAAAAAATTAACAATAAATCTTAATTTTTCTGATTAACATTGTATTATTCACTAATTAAGCTAGTTCATGATTCAAGTTGTTTGCTAAGAATTTTTTTCCTTTAAAAATGATGAATTTTCTTTGCAGACCGTATCACAGTTGTGCTGGAAGCTGTCAAAAATCAAACCCACCAATTGATTCTCTAGGTCTCATAGATTTGTAATAGTTTTTTAAAAAGTTTTTTTCCCTAATAATTCACTTAATTTTTGTTCAGATGAAACCATTTGCAGTTGGCTGATATATAAAAATATGGATACTTTACTCAAGGCAAACTGGTATATTTTCTTAAATAAAATGATTTATCTCCTGAACATTTTTCTGTAATTTGTATATATTTCTATATATACATAAAATAGAAATCCCTGTTATTTTATCGTCTACCCATCATAACTTGAGAGATCTACGGGAATGTTCTTTCTTAGCTTTATAGTTTCCAGACCCTAATTTGAGTGGGTCTACTTTTATAGAGGAAAATAGCTAAACTTGTAATTTAAGACCGAGCGCGGGTAAACAGCGGGAGCTACCATGAGTAAGTAACCTGGGCAACGATGGGTTCCTAAACTAGTATCTATGTCCGATTTTTACTGAGGAACCCTTTGACGGATTGGATTGAAATGTTAATTGGGAAAGTCGAGCGGAAGAACCACGGCCGTGAATGTTCTTCATGCCTGGTTTAAATCTTCTGAATTGATCGGTTTAATTTTTTGGGAAAACTCCAGGCAAAGCTGGATTCCCAAGATATTTATTTTAAAAAGATTAAAATTATAAAAATTATTTTTGTTTTGTTTAGTTACGCATTGATGTTCTGAGAATTAATATTCAATCGTAAGTAAGAATGATAAAATCAAAGAGAATAGAATATATATTAGAGTGGAATTTAGCCAATCCCTAGGTATGATTTTGATCAGTCCCTTTCAGCCTGAAAGGGAGTTCAAAGTGTACAAATCATGTAAATGTTCACAAATTACATGCAGTAGAGTACATTAATACAGTATGTTCCCTAGACTATCCATGTCAATTTCGAATAAAAAACATTATTTAATTTATAGTTAAAACGGAAAATTATCGTTTGTAAAGTGAAAGGCATTGAGTCTATATGAAATGATCATTGGTCAATTATGAAACCAGCCTATTTCATAATTTGGTTTTCTAATTTGAGATTTTCTATAATATGATGTTTCAGGGCCAAAAAGGTTATATAGCTCAAATATATGAAGTACGCCTGCAGTATGGAAACACTACAACAAAATGGCCGTTTTACACTTTTTTCTAGTAAAGTCCACTCTAATATATATTCTAGTCTTTTTGGATAAAATATAATTTATGAAACTATAATGTACTTTACCATTCTTCCTCACTTCATTGTGAATTTTATAATGAACGAGCTATAAAGTAAAATTAGCCGTGTGCTATAAAGTTTTGATTGGTTCCCGAATGTAAAAAATTTAGAATATTTCCAAAATATTTTTTTAATTGAAATGAAAATAAAATTTAAATCAACTTTATCTTTTGAATTCTGCTTTGTTTCAAAGCTTATTTGATCTAGAAACAGCCTTTGAAATAAGACAAGTACACAAACGTTTCATAAAATTACCTATAGCATTATTATAATTTGGCAAGACGTGCTTTCAAGTTTTGGACTTAAATTTTCTCTATGTCTTGAAGATTCTTGCCTTTTAGATTACATTTTGTATGTCGCTAAAGCGTGGGACAAAATTAAATCTGAAAAGGCTTGAACCTTATTGAGAAAGAGAAAATTTCTGTCCAAAAACTTTATAACACTGCGAACCAAAATAACAGTGTTATACATAGTTAATGTTATTTTATTAGCAACTTTTTCAATATCTTAGGTTGGGTAAATTTATAATTTGTTATCCTAATATAAATCCCTTTGGTTGGTGCACTGTTAATGAAACGTAAGCTTTTTTCGTTTAGTTTTCGACAAAAGAATGATAACTTTAAATTAAAAATAGAAGAAATTTGCATCTAAAAACACCCCTTTTTCTGAAAAAAGTTCTTCAAATGGCAATCAGAGTTCAATTTTTCTACATTGGGAACCATAATACTGTGAAATTAATGTCGTCTGTATTCCTTATTTTACCTATGAACTTGCAAATCGTTGCAACTAATATATTTTCAAAAATATTCAAGGAAACTTTTTTAGAAAAAAAAATTAATTGAAAATTTCAAATACAAACTTCAGCTTTAATGACTGTTTACGGTGCTGGGAAGGGAAAGTTTAAAAAGTCCAATTACAAAAATATGTTTATAATTATTAAAACAGTTCAAGCATTTGATTCTTTTATGATTGCTAGGGTTTCCCACAAAGATTTTAATGGTATGCCAACATGGGGACTTTGTGACGGTGCTTGTGTGGTAGAAATGGACGAGTAAGATTTTAATATTATTTTCAAAATTTGATTCATTAAATAGGTTTTGCAAATTTATTAAAATATATTTTTAAACTGTAATTTCAAAGAACTTTCCATTTAAAAAAAAGAGGGCCAAGCCAGATTCACAACAGTACCCTTAAACATTTAATTGATGAATTCATTATAAGATAAGGTGTGGAGCACCTGCAAAACGTTTCCTTACTGAACATTACGTTACTGAACTTTTCCTTACTGAACATTACGTTACTGAACTTTTCCTTACTGAACATTACGTTACTGAACTTTTCCTTACTGAACATTACGTTACTGAACGTTACGTGTTACTGATCATTTTCGTACTGAAGGTTTCCTTACTGAACGTTTCCTTACTAAACCTTTCTTAATTAAACGTTTCTTTACTGAAAAGTCCCTCACAGAACGAAACCTACACAAAACGTATCCTGTCACAAAACATTTCCTTCCATCAAACTTTTCTGCTACAAAACGTTTGCATACCAAAGATATCCCAAAAGATATCCCATATTTTGTATGAAACATAACATTTCTAAATGTTAAATATTATTTCATATTAATATTTTGTCATTGTTCGACGCCTTTGCAAACGAGAACCAATTTTCTCCAAGACGGAAACAGAATAAAGATTTTCAACCTATTTTTTTTAACCACCTATAGGAAACATTTACTATTGGCAACTTTTTGTAAGGTAACGTTTTGTGGGGAAACATTTAGTAAGCAACGTTTTTTAAAGAAACGTTAGTAAGGCCAAACATTTTATAGCAGGAAATGTTTTGTGTATGAAACGTTTTGTGAGGAAACATTCTGTAAGGAAACGTTTGTCAGAAAACTTGTTGTAAGGAAACGTTCTGTAAGGATATGTTCAGTAAGGAAACATTCTGTAAGGAAACGTTTGTAAGAAAACTTGTTGTAAGGAAACGTTCTGTAAGGAAACTTTCTATAAGGAAACGTTCTGTAAGGAAACTTTCTAATGTAAGGAAACGTTCTGTAAGGAAACTTTCTATAAGGAAACGTTCTGTAAGGAAACTTTCTAAAAGGAAACGTTCTGTAAGGAAATGTTCTGTAAGGAAACGTTTTGTAAGGGAAAGTTCAGTAAGGAAACGTTCTGTAAGGAAACGTTCTGTAAGGAAACGTTCTGTAAGGAAACGTTCTGTAAGGAAACGTTCTGTAAGGAAATGTTTAGTAAGGAAACGTTTTGTAATTGCTGATAAACTCCTTCAAATGTGTTTTAAAATTTTATTGACCTTTTTTTATAATGATCATCAAACTATGCTTTAAAACTTTTGGAAAAAGTCCTAAATAAATGTTTTACAAATTATGAAAATATGTTGAATTCAACATCATCAAATGTTCAAAATATGAAAATATGATGTTCAACATCATCAAATGTTCAAAATATGAAAATATGATGTTCAACATCATCAAATGTTTAAAATAAAAAAATATGGTGTTCAACATCATCAAATGTTTAAATTATGAAAATATGTTGAATTTAACATCATCAAATGTTTAAAATATGAAAATATGATGTTCAACACAGGGGGGATGATCGTTCTCAACCTTTGTGCTCAGTTAGCTTTACAGTACACTTACAACTGTTTACTAATATTGACATATTATAGGATAGGCCAGAATCACCTTATAATAAACAAATATGCAGTACGCTCTCGGTATAGTTGATGGCCTTTACAATTAGTAAAGGATTACTGTACATCATCACTCTATACACTATAACCTCGTTGATTCAACATCATCAAATGTTTTACAAAATATGAAAATATGTTGAATTCAACATTATCAAATGTTTAAAATATGAAAATATGTTGAATTCAACATCATCAATGTTTAAAATATAAAAATATGATGTTCAACATCATCAAATGTTTAAAATATAAAAATATGATGTTCAACATCATCAAATGTGTAAAATATGAAAATATGTTGAATTCAACATCATCAAATGTTCAAAATATGAAAATATGTTGAATTCAACATCATCAAATGTTCAAAATATGAAAATATGTTGAATTCAACATCATCAAATGTTTAAAATATAAAAATATGTTGAATTCAACCTCATGAAAATGTTCAATTTATGAATAGAAACGGCCAGTTCGCTTTTGAAAGTCTGAGTGGAGTTAGTTTTTGGGCTGAACAATACTTGATTTCATATAAAGATTGCTTCAAATATCTTAAAGGTAAGTTATAGAGAGAGAAGACGACAATTCCTGAATTTATAAAGGTATAAATTCGGTTATGAGAATATTTAAATTTTAGAAAAGATATTAGTTAATACTTGTATTTTCGATATTAAGGATCTTTTATTCTAAGAAGGACTGCATAGTATTAAATACTTGAATTTAGGAATGACTGGAAGTAAAGATCCTAAACTTTTGGAGAATTTTGACCCTAAAACCGAGCTTTGTGCCGGCAAAATATTTAAACTAAGATTACAGGTAAAATTTACAAAGAATGTTTTTTGAACGAACGAAATCTTTGATAACGAACAAAATGTTTTGTGGAAAAAGGAAAAAGGAAAAAGAAAAAGGAACAATGGACAAATGAAATGATCATTCAGAGCAATGAAAAATGATCGTTTTTTTAAAAACTAACGAAAAAACCGAAAGATGCAAAATCGTTTGAACGAACTTTACAAAAGAAAAGAATTTCAAAAAAGATTTTTTTTAAAAGATTGGTTAACAAAATAGAAATCAGTGACTGAGCACTCCTTTTATGCATGTTACATCAAAATTAGCCCTTCCCACCCCCCCACCCCCCCTACATCTTTACATTTTGGTGTCATATATGATTTGGTTCACCGACATAGGGTCAAACGACCCAGGGGCCAGGGTCAAACTTTATAGGGTCAAACTTCATAGGGTCAAACTTCATGGGGTTAAACGACCTAGGGTCAAACGACAAATGGTCAAAAACACGACAAAGGGTATAACGACTAAGTCTTAAAAGTTTAAATGTATGTTTTATTTCAAGGTTAGGTTGGGTTAAAACAATATCTGGGCCCAGCGCTGTGGCTTGTAATTCAAATGAACATAAAAATATATAACAAAAAAAATATTCTTTTTGACCCTATGTCGTTTAACCTGTTGTCGCGTTTTTGACCCTTTGTTGTTTCACCCTATGTCGTTTGACCCTATGGCAGTTGACCCTAGATGGTTTGACCCTATGGCAATTGACCCTAGATCGTTTGACCAATGGCAATTGACCCTAGGACGTTTGACCCTATGGCAAATGACCCTATGTCCTGTGCTAAATCATTAAAAAAATATCAGCTATTTCGCATTTATTAAAATTACCCGTAAGTCATGCTTCAATTCCAGGTAACACTTTAAAAAAAATGAGGGTGGTAAGCAAAAACAAGTTCTCATTAGCCTTAAACTTCATTGGGGTTTAATACATATATGCTTTTGTCTTTGCCTAGAATTTCAAAGTGGATAATTTAACAATAACCAGAGAAAATATTCAGGTAAGAACAAACTTTGATATTTTAAACTTAGAAAATAAGTTTTTTTTCAACTACGACCTTACAGCCCAAAAGCAGTTTTATCGGCCATAAGTTTGGTTCTTTAATAAGGTCATGGTTACTATCGATGCGTGTCAATGTACGGGAAATTTTGTGTTCTTGGCATTGATAGATAGAATCGTATAAGACGCCATACTCGCGTATTCTATATAAGGAGCCGAAATTTTCCATACATTGGAGCCCATCCAGAATAAGCAACCTTATTTAAGAACCTTGGCAATATTGTTGTTTTACAAACACATATTCCTGTTCTAATTCCAGATCCAGGTATTACGTTGAGTCCACAGCTAGTTTTTAAAAATAGAAAAAGAAGATATTATTTATTTCTACAATTTTTTTTACTATAATCTTCCTAAAATCAGCATGCTTACTGAACTTACTTACTGAACTTACTTAACTTTATTCCAGTCCACAGCGTAAACTTTTATAAAATTGAGAGATAACTAAGTTTAATTTTACCTCTGGAGTTGATTATGAGTGGAATAGCAAATAAATGGTGTTGGATTAGGTCAAATATAGGTAATCTTAGCAACACCCATGAACTTGATTCTTATCTGTGAAGTCCATGTTTTTTTAATTACTGAGCCTTAAGGAATTGATTTGCAACAATTTAAGCGTTGAAATGTTGTTTCCAGCAGCCATTTTTTCTTTGTAATTGTAAAATTTAACATTTTGCAGGTTTTTTGTAAGCATTGATAGATTTTTAAAATAAAAAACGAAATTTGTTCAGGCAACATTTTTTAGTTAATTTTATCCCTCTCCACAAACCTCTCTGAGCCCAAAATTTAAGACAGGGTATCGTTATGAAAACCAGATTGGGAACCAGGGTTTCACGAATGGAGTTTCGTGAATATCAATATTTTTGTTCTGAAACATGAATTTATTTAATTTTTTCATATTCTCTATTTTTTTGAATATCTTAAATCAAAATCTACACAAATGTTAATACCATCAAAAAGGAAACTCAGGAGTTTCGTTCAACGATTTTTTTTTTTAATTTCGGGCTCTGGGGTCGTTTGAGTTTCCAAAGTTCAAATTTGGCCCGATCAATATCAGACAAAAAATGAAGCCAAAATATATTTTAAATGATTGTTCAGGGTTCTTCAACTCAGATTGGTGAACCTACAAATCCACTTCCTCATTTCATAGGAGGTAATCAGAGCTCGGTTATTTCGTGTAAAATATTGTTAATTCTGAGCGCTTGAGCTCGATATCTAATATGGGGACTTTTAGTTATACCTGCAGGGAACAACCACCAAGGGATTCTGACTTAAGTAGAAATAAAGGGAAATTATGATGTTACCCATATATATAACTTTAATGACGGATTGGAACTTTCTGAATTTTAAACTTTAAAAAAAAGTAGTTTTCTTTCTTTTATTCTAGGTAATGTTACATTAATTCGTTAATACGCAACATCCAATCTACTGAACTTCTGATCTACTAACTTTCCGACCTAATGCAATATCGGACCTACTCCAGCTGTTTATTTTTGTATTATTTGAGGGTTTGGTTAGGTTAAGACAATTTCTGGGAAATTTAGAAATTTTCAAAATTTTACACGTTTAAAAAAAAGTTTTCTTTGTTTTATTCAGTCTTAGGATAGGTTATTAAATGAATTGGCAATACAAGAAACAATTTTACAAATGCAGGAAAACATGTATCAATCAAATATTGTATAAATTATGAACGTACATCCTTTGATGAAGTCGCATTCTTTGTAAGTAACCCTGAATATCTCAAACTCTCTCTAAGATAACCATAGATGATGCAATGCACATTGCACAGCCTTAATTTTGAAGCCATTTTTGTATTTTTGGACATTGAAAAATATCTGCTAAAATATTTACGATCTAAGGTTGCAAATTACATTTATGCTAAAAAAGGCGCAACAACGCATTAAACTTATTGCGCTTCATGCAAAAAAAAGTAAATTGCACAAATTTTGTGCAAAAAGTATGGTCATTTCATGGAAACCCTACTTACGACCTAAGATTGCAAATTATATTTACGTTGGAAATTTTGGAAATTCTTTGATGTTTGTTTGGAACAATTGTAACAAAACCAACATAAATATAAAGCACAAAACAACTTTTTTGAAGTTTTGTACAGAATGATAAAAATTGTGCAAATACTTTCGTCAATTAAGTCAGATTCTTTTAAATTTTTTTAATAGATATCCACTGAATATATTTTTTGTCATAAACTTCAATAAAACATCTGAGATGAGACCATTATTAAGTTTTAAGATTTTTTTATATTTCATGCCTATTCGGTTTTTAGGCACTGATACATGTCAAGGCGATAGCGGAGGACCCCTCTGGAGATGGCAGGTTTGTCTGTATATATGTACAGGGTGATTAATTTTTAAATGCCAATTTTCTCCATCATTTTTAAAGAAACCTAAGTTCTCTAAAAAGGCTAGTGTACTGTTGGTACTGTTGATAATTTACTGAAACATAAACAGTAATGCAACATTTTTCGATAAATGTTCGAAATGTTTGCCATCTTCTTGGTAGCATATTTTGACTCTGTCTATGAAGTTCTCAGCAATCATTTTCTGATTGAGTTTGGGCTCTGCCCCCTCCCCCAGAAGTATAAATTCAAAAGTCAGATTCTTAGCTGGCCAACTCATGGTACACCGATTAGATTTAAATATTAGATTATCAAAAGTGTCAGTTTTATGTTTATTTGTTTTTAAAAGAACTTAGATATATTTAAAAATGACGGAGTTGTGAGCGTTTAAAAAAGACATTTTCAAACCCTACATATGTACACTGTACACTGCATACACTGTACAGGCGTTACAGAAAAATTCAACAGAGGAACGTGTTGTACAGATTGGGATAATTGCACGAGGGGACAAGTGTGCAAGGTATTATAATTAGGCTTTCAATATCATAGACATTTAATTATGTAAGGAATAAGGATAAAATGTTATATTTTTCTTTTTTCGTCTGTAATACAGGATTCCCCACGAAGGATGAGACTGTAAAGACGACCTAAAACTCTAAAAATTTGAAGCCCGGTTTCTGCATCAAAATAAGCATTTTGATGGTTTACTAAACGGTCAAACTCAGAAATAAGCCAGTTTCGGCCTACAGAATCCCTGAATGCAAGAACATCGACTAATCAGATTCTGTACAATCGTCTCTGAAGTCTCATCCTTTGTGGATAACCCTGTATTATGATTAGTAATATGTTCCAGGGTAAACAGACCTGGAATATACACCAAACTTTCCAGCTTCAGGTAAATTAAAAATAAAATACATTTTCAAGAAAATATCTTTAATATTCCATGTTGCATTAATCGAATAAATCCATGCTAGTAAAATTCCTAGAAATGTTTATATGAAGGGGACTATACAGAAAATTTCAAGTTGGCAGGAATGAGATGTCCTGATTTTTCTAACAGAAAATAATTGTTTTTAATTGTGGATTTTCCATTACAGTGACTTGTGGATTTAGGATGAAAATTGTCAGAATTTAACAACATTAATGATAGAAAAACATCAGCTCAGTTTAAAGCTTTAAATCATACCGATGTGAATTGGACATGCGAACTATTAAATAGAATGTCATTTGAAATGTCGTATTTAGTCCCCACTAGAACTAAAACTAAATATCTAGAAATACTATCTTCTTCTGTCAATATTTGCAATCAATCAATACAATACAACAATATAATGTCAACTTGTATTAAATTATTGATTATTTGCTATACTAGGAAGTGGATTAAGAAGAATACACAAGATGGCGAATGTGATAAATTTGAATAAACCTTTTTTCCTAAATTGTTAGAATTTGGGTTATAAATACAAAAATACAAAAGTAAAGTTTCTAGAGAAAATTAACAATTTTTAGGGAGATAAATTTGCAAGACTTTAAAAACGTGTTTGTCAAGCTTGGATTGTATATACTGTACAGTGAGTTCCTGCATCAAAGGGAGAGTTTAAAATAATTAAAAGCTTTTTTCTTTGCTCCCTAATTTTTATCTGAGAAATATGGCGCTCCATGGCTTTCCAGAAGCACAGGAAAACAGCTGAAAATTGTTATTTCAATAGTTTGTACCGTAGATATCAAGTTCAAGGTTGCGAACACTAAGCACTATCCCAAACAAAAGTGTTGAATCAGAAGTGAACATTTTTGTTTGGAGTACCGTTAATCTTGAATGATTGATCTCGATATCTAATTTGGACAATTTTTAATTTTAGGATTAATGCATTAACCCTTCATTGCTGTTCTTCCCCCAGTGTAGATTCCCACGTATAATATAGAAAAGGAATAAAGTTGATCCGTACATCTCCTTAATCCTGAGATTAACAAAACAAAAGTTCCTATCTCTAGTAAGATGGAAAAACTAACGTAAAAGAAAATCTGCGAAATTTTCCTCCTACAAGAAATTGAATCATTTTAAGAAATGATTATGTTTAATGAAACACACTGTTCATAAGAATAATTTTAACATTATAATATTTATTAAAAGTTTCAGTTGTTAACATTTTTTCTTTTTACATGAAAATCTCATAAATTTATCAATAAGAGAGTTTATTAAATCAAAAATCTTATAAAACCTGAAGACGTTTCTACAACATAACACATGAGATTATTTTGAAGGTTTATTTTTAATCTGAACGTTCAGTTAATCTGTAGATTAAGAAGCATTATGGAAGAATACGGCAAATAAAGAATATTACAAAATCGTGAGTTGCCAAGAATTTAAATATATATATTTTTGTATGGTTGAGAATTAAAGCCATGGTTACATAAGGCCCGGTTTGGTATATCACTGTTGACTAAAGATCAAGACTGAACTTGGTTCTCTGAAAACCATTGATCAATAATTTCATTATTTGCATTTTCCACTGCAGCTAGGATCAATTCATCAGGGTAGTTCGGAGGATCTAAAAATATTTTTTCATAAAATAAAAGTTAGAATTAGAAAAATGCCAAAAATGTTTCAGGAAAAAGTTGTGTTTTAATAAAGAAATAAAAAAATAGATAAAATATTGCAAGAGCATTTACAGAAATAAATATAGGTGGAGCTCATAAATGAGGGGGCGGGGGGCAAATTTGAACTGCAGTTTTATTCTTTACTCTTCAGTTTAAAATTTTAAAAGCGTGATAGCTGATTTCTAGAGGGGCCTTCACAGGTCTAGGCCCTAGGGTTGGCAATGCCCCCTTGTCCCCTCCCCCCTGTACACGCCTTTGAGATTTTGAGATCATTTGTTTGCAAACAATTAAAATAAAACAGAAAAATTCGGTGAAGCTAATTAACTAACTGTAAAAAATTCCAGTTTTTAAACATCCAAGGTTTTTAAGCTTTAAATATGCTTCACAGTAAAAACCAAAGGTGTTTTTCAAATTTACTCATTGTATTTTCTATAATTTAGCCAAAGTAATGTGCCAAAAAGTTTCATCAAAACGATTTAACCAATTTATTTCATGTCATTGTAAAAATTATTCCATGAATATAGAAAGTATACCATTTTGAATTCTTAATGGAAATCATCTAAAATTTGTGTGAAGCCTCGATAAAAACTTGAAAAATCTAGAATTTTTAAGAAAAGCAAAAAAACGGTTCCCATACCACAAAGAGAATATCCTAAAAATACCTGTGCAAAAACTTTGATTAGATGGGCAAGGTGCAGGGTTTAAGTTGCTGCCACGAACCTAAAAAGTTCACATTTTTTATAAATTTGAAGAAACAAAATGTCAAAGAAAAATAAATCCCAATAACTTTGCTTGTTTATACAATTAAAATTTTATAAAAGAAACCAGAGATCGAACTACTTAATGCTACCTGGTTTAAATTTTTAATCAACGATTCAAAGTTAAAAATATTTAGGGATTTGCAAGGTTATAATGCAAGGAAAGTTAATTGCAGTAGCGTATACTCTGCGTAGTGCATACATATTTAAACCAGTTCTCTCTGGGCGAAATTTTTAAACAAGAATAGATGCATCAGTGTTCGTTTAGTATCCGAGGAGGTTAAAAGCATTAAATTTTGTCCATTTTAATCATTCACATAATAGTTTCCTATGACCAGAATATTTTATTGATTTTTTTATGTAAAAGATGGATCCCGTGACAGGCTTCGACATCTATCTTGTGTTTACATTACCGCCCAGAGACAGTGCACTGCAGTACAAAAGGTACGTACACCTCTGAAATAACTTTCCTTGCAGTATAACCGAGGAGATTTGAATCGGTGATTCAGGATTTAAACCGGTAGTAGATAGTTCAGCGGCCTTTCCAATTTATAAAATTCGGTCAAAATTTAACAAAAATGGCAATCATAAAAATAATAGAAAAAACTTTGGTTTACACTTCAGAAGATGCAGCTACAAAGTGCAGTTTAACTCACCGGTCTGGACAGTCCTAAGTAAAAGCTGTTTAAGAGAAGAACAAGAAGAGAAAATATCCTAGGATGCATTTTTAATGTTTTCAGCGCGACAAACCGGTATAAACTGAGGACTCACTGATTTTAACAATAAAGACCTTTCTTTCCCCGGATTTGAGCAGAATAATTCTAGTATATTTTGTCATATTTTAATTTTGAAAAAAAAAACACTAAAAGGAACAAACTAAAAAATAGGATTTTTTAAATATACGCGAAACAAAAAAAATAGTGAGGCGTATTCATCCCTGCTGGGAAATTGGTATAAATCATGGGAATCCCTGAACTATGTATGTATACAGTGTATACAATATACTAGTCTACACTTTATACAGGTGTCCCTTCGCCTTATTTACTACTCTATATTTTACAGATATAAATATTTATAGAATTTTGTTAAAATTAAATTTTAAAACATATAAAATGTTTTTAAAAAAGTCTTTTATTAATGGTCATATGAACTAAAAGGACACCTTTTACTTTTTGGCTTTTTTATAGACTCCCTCTGCACTTATCTTGGAAATTTGTTAGGACTGGCTGTCAAATTATACAGAGTTACACATGAAAGGTTGAAACTGTAAAGACGACCTGCAACTCTTTAAATGTGACGATTCCAAGGTTGAATTAAGTCCACTGCCTTGACTATAGTTTTTATATGGCTGCAGATTGACATTATTAAAAATTACAGTATGAACAACATAAGTAGAAAAATAAGAAAAAAAGTAAATTGATCTTGAAGACGACATTGCAATCATTCATCGATCTCATTGATCAGATCCGTGTAGATTTTACGCATTTTATTTATACTTGTTCTAGAAATTAAAATTTTCCAAATCAAGTTATAGCAGTAACATATTTCAAGAGTTTTCATAATCAATGCAGATGATAGATTTGATCTCACAGTGATGACCAGAAAACTCTGGAATAGGAAGTCGACTTTTAGTTTTGTTTTAATTTTAAAAATTTCAATGAACGTGAGGCACAGTAATTGTGCAGTGTAAACAGACCCAATTCACTTAATATGGGTTTTATTAACTCCCTACTAAAGCTATTTGCTTTGTAACAACATCAAATGCTCTTTAGTATTGATTTGATGTCGTCTTCCTATTCTGCAGTTTTCTGGTTATCACTATACAGTGAAACCCTTAATAACGAATACAACGGAAGAATTTATCAAATGTCGTCTTGACAATTTTTCAATGAGTTTTATACTATATTACGTAAATTTCAGTATTTGCGAAAATAAATAAATAGCCATAAATATGCGGGAACAGTTTTAAAGAAATCCATATAATCATTTAACTAAAAAACTAGATATCTGCAGCATTCCATTATCAGAAAGTGAAGAATACGACATTTGACGAATTCTTTCAATGTATTCGTTATAAAGGGTTTCACTGTAGGATCCTTGATTATTTACAAATTACTATTAAAGTCTCAAAATAAGATGATTTTAGCACTATAAAGCACTTGTGATAGCTTTTGTTATTAGAAGTAATTGGCAAAATTTTCGTCGATTTTTGCTTGAGTGCTTGCAACCTTTAAAGGGACTGTAAAGGAAAAATGAAAGGGGGTATAAGATGAAACCTGAGAATCTCAGACATTGAACGATACATATAAGACATGCATCTTGAGAAATTGACATGAAACTGTGTCCAAATTATCAACTCCTGAGTTCTGGTTTCAGCCTATACCCCCTTACATTTTTCCTTTACAGTCCCTTTAAAAGTATTATTAAAGTATTTTCAGGTCGTATAGTAAGCTGTCACATTAAAGTATTTTCAGGTTGTTATCAAAGTCTTAGTAAGAGGATTTTCAGTTCGAATTATTGACCCTATCATGATTGGGGGCGGGGGGGGGGTGTTTTCCACACACACACCCTTACGTGGTTTTTTCTAAATAACTTAAAAACGACAAACATTAGAACGCTAAAACTTCTTCACTTTTTCAACTTCATGGTTGTGAACAAATTTTTGATGCATATGTTAGGGTGGAGTCAAATGATTGTTCGGTGTTTCAAAAAAATCAGAAATTTTTAATAACTTTTAAATTAATTAAGCTGCAAGTATCAATATTATAAGATTTTCATTTCGTTATTAAAATCTCAATACTAAAGGATTTTCAAGTCGTTATTGTACTGTATTAGAAAATTTTCAGGTCGTTATTATAATGTATTAGAAGATTTTCAGGTCGTTTTTAAAGTCTCATTCTTTGTGGGTAACTCTGTGTTTGCGCTTGTTTGTCATTGGATTGAGAACATAGAATTATAGAATTGATCTAAAAGGTCTAAGAGAGAAATTATAAATATGAAAAATCTACAATTAGTGGGTGGTTATGGGTTCTTTAGTTTAGAATCACTAAACTAATTAATCATGCAAGACCCCGTGGGACAGTTTTTGGAGGACAAGACAGAAAATAGGGAACAGAACAGAATAG